CCTGGGCTGGTTCAGTGGGGCTGGGGTCGCACCCAGGGACTTGCATTTCTAACGAGCTGCAGGCTCTGAGAACCACAGATCTAAGTGGTTCTTCGACCTGAACAACAATCACCCATGAACTGCTCCCCCGAGCTAGTGAGTGATGTCTGGCCTTGGGCTGTGCAAGTCGGAGGCACTTTGGCGCCCAAACAGTCCCCGTCGGGCACTCCTCCCCCTCCCCACCATCCCTCAACACACCTGGCTGGTCTCCAAGACAAGCACAACAGGGAGGGGCCTTTGTCAAGCCCAGATGATGTTTTAAAGGCTGTGCCTCCAAACCAAAACAGATTGTGCCCCCAGGTGGCCACTTGGGGCCTGCTAGATTCCAGGGCCCACCTCAGTGGGGTCACATTCAGGGTTCCTGAGGGCACCAAGCATTCCCCACCCACCCCCCCACCCACTCATGCAGGGGTGCTCCACAGCTCTGGGATGCAGCACGAGTGGAAAAAGTGGTCAGAAGCAGGAGGAAAGCATGACGGGCGTTTTAAGCACTTCTGTTTGGTGCAGACTCGGATGCCTTCCCACCACCCCCAGGCCCGTGGAAGCAGGGCAGTCCTGCTCCCACCCACCCCTGCCCCGTCCTCTGCCCCCTCTGAAGACAAAGTACAGACACACAAAGGGAGGGAGAGAGAGGAGTGCTGGCTGATAGGACACAGCTCTCCCGAAGGGCTGGTTAGAACACTCCTGCTACCACCAGGAAATCGAGATTCCAAAGGAGTTGGGCTTTTCACTTGAACGAGGCCTGCCCAGTTTCCTCCGCGACCGCGACTATGTTCCGGGGCTGCTCCCGGGCCGCACGGCCCTCCCTTTTCTAGGAACCGGCACTCCGAGGCCCGCTGTCCGTGTTCCCCAGGCTCCAACAAAGGGCCCGGTGAGTCCGGCTGGCTGCGTCAGTTTCGAAGACCAAGACAGGAAGTATTTGAAATATTCAGGTGTTTACAGCTGAGACACTGGGGAAATCCAAGCCGCTGAACTGGTTTTCCTGCACGCCTGTGAGAGCCACTACAGCACCGAATGGAAAGAGCATAGCCTCGTGGTGCCGCTGAGTGGAGGGTGGCCGAGGGCGGGAGCAGGCGGGGATCACCGGGCCAGAGAGCCCGGCTCAGGCAGATTTTTACTTTACAGATAAGAGAGCCTGCAATCTGAAATCAGAGGAAATCTGCCATGGTCCACGCCATGAGGGGGCTTGTTTTGTTTTCAAGACACAGAAGCGTTAACTCTGAGACGCCCGGACGGCCTGCTCGGCTCGGGGTTCGCGAGAAGCTCGGCCTGGGACACTAGATTGCCGTCTTTTATACCTTTAGGGTCCCATACTCTTAAACATTTATCCCAAAACACTTAGGCGGATGCAGGTCAAGCAACAGGATGTCTTGGGTGTGCCAACAATGCACAAAATCAATAGGAATTATGACCATTTGCGAGTCATCTGGGCGACCTAGCCAAGGGCTTTGACTGATTGATTCATTCAAAAGGAAAAGCCAGTGAGGTGCCTGGATGGCTCAGTCAGTTAAGCATCCAACACTTGATGTCCACTCAGGTTCTGGTCTCCAGGTGATGAGATCAAGTCCCACCTCAGGCTCTGTGCTCAGAGCAGGGTCTGCTTGTCCCTCTCTCCCTGCCCTTCCCCCCCACATGAATGTGAAGGCACGGGCACACACACGCTCTCTCTCTCTCTCTCAAATAAATAAAATCTTTAAGAGCGAGTGGGCCAACCAGGTACTCCTGGAAGAAGGCAGGCCCTTGCTGCGACGATCACCGGGTGCCACAGGTAAGTGCTGAATCCGACTGCACATCTGAAACTAAGACCCCACTGTACATTAACTGGAATTTACATGAAGGTGTAAGAAGACTGGGTCAGGTGTGCCACAGAGAAGAGTCCACAAACTGAGGCCGGGGAATGTGAGTGAGGGAACCTGTACAGTTTATACTTTAATTTTCTGGGTATTATTTCAGCGTTCTGACATCTTAAAACCCTTTCTGCTGGGGAGAGACTGGCTAGCCACCTCCCCGGGGCAGCCAGCAGCCCAGCCGCAGCACACCTGTAACGCGCCAACCAAGCCATGCAGAGCCAGCCCTCCTCTAGCTGGTCCGTGCGGACAAAAGGCAGCATTTCTCCGCCTTAAACATCCCAGGGCTGGGCACCAGACCACCAGGGACCACGCCTCCAGCTTGGAGGCCACAGAAATAATTCAAGCTGGATGCCCTGCCCTGCCCACCTGGGAACGGCTCTGGCCTAGGCTCTCCCCTCCCTCTGGTGACTTCTGCCTCCCAACCACCCTGGAGCCTCCCCACGGGGCTCTGCAAGGCGTGAAGTGCCTCCCGTGGCGTTACACTCGGGGTTAAGGACCCTGGTTTCCTGAGCCTCTCCCGTGTCTCCTCCTGCAGCAGCACCTGAGCATCCCATTCAAGACCACGGACCAGAGCCCGCTGGGTGACTCGTGGGTCATGGGCCAAGCCCTGGGGGAACCTGCCCGCTCCACAATTAGCTGAGCCCGCTCTGCTCTCGGGTCATTCCCACCGGGAGGAGGGGCCCCAGACACAGCCTCCCCTGCCTTCCCTCCTCTCCCCCACATTCCCCCTTTGCCTACGGAGGAGGGGCAGCACCTCACCAAAGGCATCAGGAAAAGACTGGCTCTTTCATTCCCAATATTGAACAGGTCCATAGCCTTAAGGATTTTTTTTTTTGAGTAGACAATAAAAAATGCTTGATTTCACACCCTAGAAAGCAACTTAGTAACTCACCAAAACACTTTGAAATTCACACGCCTGATTTGCAGAGAAATTGTTCATCCATCTCCTTTATTACAACAGCTCTGCCGCCGGCACGACACCGTGGGACACCGCAGTGACTGGGGTCACCGTGCCAGCACATACAAACACAGATCAAGTATTGTAAATAAAATATATTTGAAGTGGTGATCTCAACCTAAGATGGAAAAGGGAGTTTCCCTTGGAAAGTATAATCATCTGGGGCGCCTGGGTGGCTCAGTGGGTTAGGGCCTCTGCCTTCGGTCCTGGGATCAAGGGTCCTGGGATCAAGCCCCGAGTGGGGCTCTCTGCTTGGCAGGGAGCCTGCTTCCTCCTCTCTCTCTGCCTGCTTCTCTGCCTACTAGTGATCTCTGTCAAATAAAGAAATAAAATCTTAAAAAAAAAAAAAAAAGTGTAATCATCTGTCCACGTACCAGGTACTCCTAGGTTCTCCCTAGTTACACGGGATGATCGCTGGATGTCACGTGGAAGGGCTCGTCTCCACAGGGCAACTGGGAAATGTGGGGTCCAGACACAGCATGCCAGCGCACGCCCACCCACAGGGCTACTGGATAACACGTGTGTAAAGGCGGATAAGCCAGCTGAAAGAGGCAGGAGTGCAGCCACGTACAAATCTCATTTTCGGAAGCCACAAGGCAGATGTGAATGTTACAGCCCCTCCAGGGGTCACGCTGTGGGCGTGACACACATCCGAGTGTGTCACCTCCTGGAAGGCAGGCTCTGTTTCTGAGTGCAGTGGCGTGGAGGCGTAAGGTACAGCAAAATTAGGAGGGCAGGGTTGCAAGCTCTCCCACGTCCACACAGAGAGTGACTGCAGCCGGTCGTCCTGATGGAGGGTATGTTGGATGGCAGGACATGGGACACACGACCCCTCCTCAAAGCCGGATCCTCCCCCGTGCAGGGGACAAAGTACACCAGCCCCCGCGCATGTCACCTCATGCTCAGTTCGCAACACTTCAAGATCACCCCGAAATACCCTCAGGAGAGAATTAACAGCCTCTAAAGGTCACTAATGAACCAGCCCAGAGTAGTTAAGGCAGAACTATTTTTAATTATTTTTAATGCCTCCAAAAGGGAATCTGCACATGCACGTTCCAATTCTAGGCAAGTCTGTGGTCGACGACACAGGCGGACAGAAGTAAAGGCTCCCCTTGCTAACAGAGCCCACCAGCTACAAGGAAGGCAACACCTCTGGATTTTCTTTCACAGAAAGAGTAAAATTGCATTTATCTGTTGCAGGTTCTGACTTCATGACAATGCGATTTAAATAGGAAAGCATTTGCAATCACTGGGGTAAAACACTCTTTAAAAAAATAATACTTCACAAAGTAAAGCAAAATCTTTTATGAAAATAATTCTTTCACTTTTCAGACTGTTGGCTCCAGAGGCCAATTTTATAAACGAGGAAAGGAATCATCTTCTGCCAACGTGAAGAATGTCACTCGAAGTATTACCCACTTGCCCTTAACTCAAGTGGGAAAAGCGAGGGAAAATAAAAAGTATTACCCATAAACTCTGAAAGAAGGTCAGTGTTGTGAGATATACAGAATAAGGCTCTTTGGATAGTCTAACGTCTCTATCCTTTTGATGTGTTCATGACAGTTACAATAATAGACTATGGCTGAAATTCTCCTAACAATAACCCAATCAGAGTAAAATAATAAATAAGAGTATCTACAAAGCACATAACGTCTTGAAATGATTTTCGTAAAACCACCTCCTTTCTTTGGAGAGCTCCCAGCCGAAATCGACACCATCACCACAAGGCAGGAGCTCTGCTCGAATCCACGTTTCCAGCTGCACCCGGCTGGAGAAGGGAGCCGGCGGGGCGTCGCGCTCCTTCCAAACACTGCCCTAGGAATGCTGACTATAATCTGAATTTAAGGCATTGCAAAGTTAGAGCCAGACAAAGCACATTCTAAATAAAACGCCTGCCACAGATGCATTAAGGCATAAATAGTCCAGCCTTGGGCCACAAAAATGGGGGGGAAGTATACCAACTATCTAGGCTATCTTTCAACCAAGGAATTAAAGAATTTATGGGCTACCCATCAGCCCTGCCGGCAAAGACTGCTGGGAGACACCCCCAGGTCGAGCCTGTACAGTGATGGGGGAGACCCCGCGGGGGCAGGTCTCGAGACCCCCAGCCTTCCTGCCGTGCGGGCACAGGTGGCACACCCCACTGCAGGTGGAAACGGGCCCCCTCGGCCATGTCCCATGCATCGGGTGTGCCTCAGCGGAACGGTCATCGGCAGGGAACCCCCAGCAGCCACCTCGGCACAGGAACCAGGCAGGAACTGCGAGAGGGGACAGGCAGGGCGGCGCGGCGACTGGCTTGCAGCCGCCACCTAGGGATTCCTTCCCGCCCTCAACGCACCCGCGGCCTCTAAAGTGCGCCACTCACATCCCACTTAGAAATGTCCACCCCGGGGCATGGGGCAGGGAGAGAAATGCCCCTCAGATTCCTTTGCTCTTAAGCAAATGACCGCACACCAGGCTACTGAGCTCCTGCTCCATGGCTCCCAAGGCCTATCCTTTAATCGGGGGCGCCGGTCTTCACATGACGTCAGGAGGCTGCCGGCAACATCTTAGGCTGAGGAGGAATGAATATCCTGGTTTTCAAAAGGGGGCGGTGGCTCTCTCCAGAAGGTAAAGTTACTGAAAGTGTCTGAGCAGGGGAAGTCCGAAGAGTGGCTTCTTTTCAGCAATGGGAAAACGTGGTCAACCACTTCACAGAGTCTCACGTACCTGCAGGAAGAACGGACAACATCATGGCTGCAGAGGGACCCCCCACCCCGTGCCCTGGCCACGTGGAACACCAGCCAGGTCCCCCTGTGCTGTGCCTGGAAGCTAGGAGAGACCCACAACCCTGGGAACAGACTACCCTGCTTAACCCGGTGGCAACTGTTCTGGAATAATTCCTCAATAATTAACAAGAAATCAGTGTGGGTGCCAAGTAGGACTCAGATAAGGCCCCCTGGGGCGAGGCAGGTGAAACCTGACTTGGCACAGAAGACCAAAGAAGGGGGACAAGTGGGAAATGGGGGACAGGAGGAAAGCAGCGTGACAGTGGACAGCTGCCTGCCCCGGAGCTCACGCCTGAGCCTGCAGGAAGAACCACAGATAAAAGTGTGTGTTTGGTGCAATACCGACAGCTCTGCTATGCAAGGAAATGACCTTGGGCCTTGGGTTAAGGAGACACAGACTTGACCTTCAGCTCTGCCATTTACCAGCTGAGTGACCTTGGGCAAATGGCTTCATCCATTCTAAGCCACAGTCTCCTCAATTGTAAAGGAAAGGAAAACTGCCCCAGAGTCCACAAGAGAGTGAAATAAAATAACGTATGCAACAATCAAATAACATATTCGGTGCTCAGTGAATTTTTCTACGTCCATTATTAACATTAGCCCTCACTAATTATTAGTTCGGGAAGAAGCCTTAGCTCGCCTGAGGGACAAGAGACCTGGGATCCACTCCCACACGCAGGAGCTGTGTCACCCTGGGCAAGCATCTCGCCCTCTCTGGGCTTCGGGCCCTCCATCTTTATGGCCTATGGAGTGGGACCAGAGGAGTGTTTCTCAACATTCCCCGCAACATTCTCTCCCTCCATTTTCTGTGTATTCCCAAGATGCTGTGTCTTAGTCTCCTTGGCCTATACTACAAAAAGAAAGTTGCTGTATTGAACATGCATTTTCAGACCTCCGGGCGCCTCCAACCACAAACTCTGACAAGCTCAGGCCTCTCCACATGTCCCCAGAGTCTCTGCTGACCATCACGGAGTCCCTCTCCAGTTCCAATTTGCTAAAAACCAAAAAGGGCTTTCGAAACAAACTCCAGGAGTTAGCATGTTCTGAGGCATCAAATACCTTATTAACTAAGGATGAGAGTGTGTATTTAATAAAGGAGCCCCAAAGGGCTTATGAGGAACATCGTGCTTGCACAGAATGGGGAAAATCTCCCCTAACAAGTAAGAATTACATCTTTCCTGGGGATTAAAACAAATTTTTAAAATGCCTCCTGGCTTGAAGACCTACTTGCTTGAGTTCTGCGGCTGTGGGAGGCAGGCCCTCCCCATGGGGAACAGCTCACGGCGTGTCGTCAGGGTGTGTGACAGGCTCCCGATCCAAACTGCCCATGCTCTGGGAGCCAGCCGCGCCCCATCCACACCCCATCCACGCCCCATCCGTGCCCCTCTCGCACACAAGCCACGGCAAAGAGCACAGGCACCCCCTGTCTGCCGTGGGCCCCTACCCATCTGATTTCTCGGACACGGTATCCCCGGATCCAAAAAGACCATCCCAAGTTAGGTGCCAGAGACAGCATGTGCTCTCCAGGGGATGGAGGGGCGCTCCCCCACCCCCAGGAAGGGCCTCCTGTCCTTGGCCTGGCATGAGACGGCAAGGCGCCAAGTTCCTCCACACAGAGACCCACCCAGGCCAAGGTGCCTGAACCTCAGAGTCTCAGAGAAGGGGATAACCCCACAGGCCTCCGGAGTAAGCCCTCTTGGGGTTGGGACCCCGTCCTGCCACATCTCTTGTGACAGACCTGTCACCAGGCTGTGGCCATTTCTGGGCAGTGCCTCATCAGTTCATGGGTTTTCTGAAATAAAACGATGAAGAGCGATCTCTTTGACCTTCTCCAAACCAGGGCACGCTTTCATGTGGGAGGGTGCAACACTGGGGAATGCGGGAGAGAGGGTCCCCGATGCTGCTGGGGCCACTCCGGACGTGGCCGGGGGAAGGAATGATCTCTGTTCTTGTTCTGCCAGCCAGGAGGGAGCCCGGCACTGCCCCCTGTTCTGAAGGACGGGGGAGGCTCTTGGCTCCGTCCTCCTCTCTCTCCTGGTGTATCCTGAGAACTGCTTAGGAACAGGCATGACTGGGGGAAGGAGGCACTTGGGCAGGCCCCTGGGCTCCCTCCAGCCTACAGCTGGCCCCCATCTAGGCTAAAGTAAGCTTGAACGGGCGTGAGGATCACCTTGGATGTGAAAATGTGCTCTAGCAGGAACCTAAACCTCTCCTCTACCTAAAACCACTGGAGGTGCCTGGAGAAGACTGTTCCCTGCGAACCTGCTAGAACCAAACCCTTAGTTCAACTCCTGCCCACGAGGTGGGCTCCTGCAGTCCTCCCTGGGGTCGCTCAGGGCCACAGGCTCTTTTCTAGGTCTGCGTAGACAGTACAACCCCTGAAGCAGGCACGGCAGGAGGACAGCCATCTGCCCGGTGCCGCCCACTGGGCAACACTCACCCACACAAGGCCTGAGGAAATGCTCTCCACTCTCACGAGGGAGCACCCCGGAGCCAGCACTCCCAAGTCAAGCAGAGTCTACGCCGACCAGGACGCGTCCTTTCAGACACGAGCCGACTCAGCCCACTGCTCTGACCGCAAGTATGAGAGGAATTCTGGCAATTTCTGGTGAGAGCAGTGTGGCAGGTCGGCGTGCAAAGACACACAGAGTTTCTCGTCTGTAAATACAGCTTCATATGACACCTCGATTCGGTTACATTTCCAATTCGCACGCTAGGCTTTCAACCCTCACTTGGCCGATCGAAACCACTAGTTTTGAAATTCATGCGGTTCCACTCAGTGGCAGAAGCTAACCACTCGTTTAAATTGTTGACCCAGAGGGGCCTGATTTAATGCAGATTGTCCAAAAATTAAGTTTTGGACAAACTGCCAGGAGTTGAACTGTATTTTCTTTGTAGGAATCCAAGATGAAAATATAGGCAACAAAGGACAAAAAGGCAGAGTGTGACCTGTGAACACGGTTCCAAGACGGAGACTCTAACAATGTAAGAACACAGCGACCCCCCAGCACGCGCACGACACTCACGAGGAGATGTTGGTCTTTGCGTGTTCCTGTACGAGCTCTCCTTTGGGATTGACGGTAAATATTCTGTTCAAAGACACTCCTACTTGCTTATATGAATACACATCCTGTATGTGGAAAAGTAAAATTAGGGGGAAAAAAAGAGCTCATTATAAACACAAATACAGGATATTTCAAGTTTGGTGCGCTATTATAAAATTTTCATTAACCAGAACTCTACTTCCAAGTAGTGCAGAGAAAAAAGTGTCTCTGGACGTGAAATTATTAAATCAGTTTCCCCCTGGGGGCCTCCACGCTCATCCTGCTAGAGCTGAGCTCATGAGTAAACAGGTTCCCAGGGCCCCCTGCGATTCTGACAGCCCTGCAGGCTATGCTCTGACCCATTTTCAAAAGGGGGATCTTCTTACTGGGAAGTTAGTACTAAACTATATTATCCAGAACACTAAACTCTCCAGCAAGTCTGGGTGTACACCTAAAAATCTCTAAGCACTTCTTTCACCATACGCTACAACGCTTTGAAAACCTGTGATGCCCAGTTGCGCCATGGTGTGAAGGCCTGGCTTTGTGCTTCTCTGCCAGTAGAAAGGGTCTAATCCTATTCTAGGTTCTTCTTGTTTGACTAAATTAGCAAGTGGTTTGGAATTTGAAGGTTCTAGCCCCACATTTCAAGCTTCAGACTGAAACCCACCAGCCAATCGTCAAAGAAAACTAGAGACCATGAGGTAACTGCACATCTCCTCACAGATAATTCTAGCGGGATGGGAATCTGGCTCCCCATGGAATCAAGACCCGCCCTGCAGATGGCTGCTGTCAGAAAGGGCGGTTATTTCCAGACCTCTTATATACCCCGAATTTACTACTTACAGCCGGTCGGTTTCCAAAAGCAGCATAAAAGGGTTCTGTATTTGGAAAAAACAGGTTTTTGATGTCTGTCAAACACTGGACTTTAAACTTCTCTGGCTTCTTCTCAATCACTTCTCTGTTCAAACAAATAAATAAATGATGGATCAGCTTGAGAGGAGAAGCTTCCTTAACATCAAACTATTTTTAAATTCACGGAGGGTGAATCCGTACTTTCAAGTCTTCCCACAAAGAAAAACGCTAAAGACAAGTGATTTTACTAAAGACCTCCACCAGTCATCCAAGGAACAAAGAATTCCAGACACAGGAGAAGAGAGAACATCTCCAAACTCATTTTATGCGGCTAACATAGCCTCATAAACAAAACTGAAAGAAGAAAAGCATGAGCAGAGTGTGGGCCGATCTCACTCACGAACGTCAGTGCAAACTTCCTAAATAAATAAGCATGTGCAAACTGACTGCCGCAAAGCACCAGAATTTAATTCCAGGAATGCAAGAGCAATTCAATACTTTAAACCAACGAATGCAGTCTAACACATTAACAGATCAAAGGAGGAGAAAACATACCATATTAATAGACACAGACAGGTGGTTGATACGGTTCAACAACGAATCAAGGTGAAAAATCTGAAACCTGGAATAGCAGGGCGTACTCCGAACCCACAGCAAACGTCCTGTTAACAGTTAAACAACAGCTGGCCATCACCACCATTTCAACCCAACACCGCATGGCAGGTCCTCGCTGGCTCGGTGACGGAAGGAAGACATAGTTAACGAGGATTGGAAATAAAGGAAGGGAAACTGTCACCCAAAAAGGTAGATTCAAAAAGAGAATTTACAGATGAATGATCATCATTAATAAGAAATCAATAAGACTGCTGTTTATAAAATCAGTGTACAAAAACAAGTAGTGTACAAGAATCAGTTGCACTTTCATGCATCAGAAGCAATAAGCAGGTAAAAATGTAATTCTGTAAATAGTCATTTAAAATTTACAATGTGTAGGAATAAACCTATAGTGGAAGATGTGTCAGACTTTTATGGATAAAATCATAAACTTTGTTGAAATAGATTAGGGATGTCCTAAGTGAAAAAAGACACCATATAAGTGAACTGGAAGACCCAAAATTATGAGGAGATACTGATTCTCCCTAAACCGAACAACAGATCCATTGTAATTTCAGTCAACCTCTTGGCAGGATCTTGTCTGTATGTTTTCAAAAAACTCCATCATCACAATTACTCAGAAGAAAGAGCAAAGGCCAGAAACCAAATCACACCTTTACGGATACTTGATTTATGAGCACAATGACAGCTCAAAGCAGGAGAAAATAGGCCATTGTTTCAGTAAATGATGCTGGGACAATGGACCATCCCTGGAAGAGAAACCAAAAAAAGGGAGACGATGGGCCTCTCCTCCATACGCAACCATCAGTTCCTGGTGGGTCACACACCTGCACCTGAACATGGAAGGGCAACACCTTCGGATAAAATGTAGGAGCCTCTCTCTCTGCCCACTGCCAGGGAAGCCCTTTTTAGTACCCAAACAGCACCAACTACAGGGGAAATGACACGTTCGAGCACATGAAATGACCAATTTATGTTCATCACAAGCCATAAACCGGGGAAGGCTCTTTGCGACATTCGTGAGAAAGGCTACGGATACAGAATCCATCACACACACATAAATCACAAAGAAAACTGGGGAAACACTCGAGCAGACACTTCACGGAAGATGAAGCCCAAACGGCCCGTAAACACATGAGGAGAGACCGTTCAACCCACCGGACTGGCCCAGATGTACGTGGCTGGCAACGTGTTGACAAGAAAGCAGAGCACGGGGAGGGCCTGGACTCCACTGTGGGTGCAGAAATGGGCTCAGCCACTTTGGAAAACAGTTCGGAATGAGCTAATAATGCCGAATCCGAGCATCCTCCGTGGCCAGCAATTCCAATCCCAAGTGCGGACCTCGCAGCAACTCGTGTCCGTGCCCCCCAGTGCAGACCCAGGAAGCACTGCTTTGAATGGTGAGATCCTGGAAATGACCCAAGTATCCACCAGCAGCGGGTTGTCCTACACCAGGACACCACACACGAGTCAGGGCAGTGGGTGACAGCTCCTCTCAGCGTTCGTGGGGACATGACGGTGAGCGAGAACAGCAGGCTCCAGAAGAAGGCGACGCGTCCCCACACAGGCCACACATGTGCATGGTTGACCGTACTGGTTAGGCCCCCAAATACGAGCGCTAGAACTGTTCCAGAAAGCAGGGGGTGATGAACACGAGATTCAGGAAGCGTGGCTACCGTCGCTGCCTAGCGGGGAGGGATGGGAGCGACCAGGACTCCAGACGGATTGGCTGACCTTCGGCTTTAACCGGGCGGCGGGCTACGGTGTAAGGCCCACTCAGCCAGAGCGGCCCCAGCCCGGCTGAACTGCCATTTTGTTGTAAAACTTAAATTGACTCTGCCCGGCCACCCCCAGGGGAACTTAATTAAAAACAAGTCCCGGAAACCAGTCCCAGGTAACAAAGCCCCAGTACAAGGGTGGGTCAGGCCAGGTGGACGTATCCAATCAGTGGGGGCGCAGACTGTCTCCGAGCCACCAAGGAGTATGGGCCCGCCCTTTGGGCACCTTGTGGGCGCCAATTCTGACCAAGGTGATAGGCTGGTTCAAATGTCTACTAGGGTAAATTGTAATTCACTTGGTCACCTAGCATCACTGTGCAGCTTTCTCTGTGTGTTACAATCTCATTGGCCACCTGTGCGTGGCCAGGCCCAACCACATGGCCTTTGCTCTATAAAAGTTAGTCTGGAAAGCAGGGAGGGGTCACCCTCTCTGTAAGGGGTGGCCCCGACCCGTCTGTTTGACGGTCGGTTTGATTCTTGATACTTGGCGCGAAATAAAGCTTTGCTTGACTTTTGCTTTGTATCAGTCTCACTCCTTTAATCACAGACTCATTATTGGGGGACCCATTTTTGGGTGTTCACTACCTGATTCGCATTTACCCCTTACATGTAGCTTAGAAATGTTCTTCTGTACCTACTCAAAGTGTAATTTGGATGGTGGTGGTGGTGGCGGTGGACGGCCAACCTGAGCATCGTAAGACCCCAGGGCTGCTCCCGGCTCCGCACACACTTTGGCGGACTGCAGAACCTCCCCTAAACCAACAATGAAAGCGTCCTACATTCTGCATCTCGGGACCCCACTGCTGGCGGGACGATTATGATTTCAAACTTCAGTCCACTCAGGGGAAACCATCCAAATGCAGCTTCCTGCTCTGTCTCTCCCACTCCCCTCTCTCTCACACACACTCAAGCACACTCCCTGCACTAGTGTGTGAGTGTGGCCAGCGGGGAGGAGGATGTCACAGGCATCTATACCGGGTGAGCAGGGCACAGTAAGAAGGTAACTGTGGCCCGGGCCACCGGCGCCCACCTCGCGGGCAGGTGTGCCGTGAGGAAGCAGTGAGGACGGCTGACGGGCACTGAGGTGACCTGAATGTGCACATAGTCCCTGGTCCTAACTCACCCTTGAGGTAACTTTACTCCAGCAAACGACAGAGTGGCATTTATGAGTCTCAGAGCGCCTCAGAAAACCCCAAGGGGGAAACACAGTTACTTGTGAAACAGCTTCTTCCTTCCCAGAGCAAGAGGCCGGCCTCTGTTGCTGCTGAATCCCAGAACTTCACCTTTGCCCCGAAACCCAGTCTTGGGACGACATAGCAACAGCGAGTTCCCTGTCATCAGGGAGACGCCCCAGCCCCCACCATGAGACTGAGCCCCACATCGCAGGAATGGGTGCCGCACCCACGGAGGCCCCTGTCACCGCCACACAGGAGGGCAGGTAACGAGAACTCAAAGCCAATGTCCACTTTAAAAGGGGAAGCTCCTGAACCAACAGACGAGCTGTGGGAAACAGATTCCCTCAACTTTTTTTCTCAGACATGTTTCCTAGAATCATGGCACCTCAGGGCTGAGAGGGGACACCCGAGATCATCTAATCCGGCCCCCGCGTTCACCAGCTGAGGACAGAGACTCAGGAGAGGGAGGCACAGGCTTGTCACCCCACCAGCCTGTCGCCAAGCAGCATCAGAGCCGGGGGCTCCCCACCCCCACCTGCCAACCAGGCTCTACCCACCGGGTGTGTGTGCCTCAGTCTAGCTGAGACCCAGGCAGGATCCTCAGAAGCGCACTCAGTTAAAGCACCTTGCTAGGGAAGGTTATTCTGGCTCGTGGTAGACGGGCCTGTCATTTCTAGAAGCTCTGCAGGACGGCTGACCCACAGACGGCTCAGGCTAGAATGCAGGGCTGGAAGGAGCCCCTCCAGCTCCCAAGGGGGGCACACGCTGGGAGGTGTCCTTGTTTGGTTGAGTAAGTCCTCACAGTCCAAGATCGGCCACTTTTGATCGATCATGGACAGTGGGACTTCAGTGAAAAAGATCACCTTAAATGTGTATTTAGTGGTAAATATCAAAGTACTAATGTCCGTGTTTTGCCTGACCTTGCAAATCCTCGGTCCTTAATACGTGATAACAAGTAGCTTCCTATAAACTGTCGACATACATCGGGGACCCCATTTCATTAACATCTGGATTCTACTGAGGCCTACACTGGCAGGATGGTTCTCGGGACTTAAAATACACAAGGGATCCAGAGGTTTGCCCGAATTTCCTCCCCAGAATGTGCAAGTTTCAGTGTGAGAACTTCTACTACAAGGAAAAAAAACTACAAATCACACTAAGCAAAGCTGCGATGGGAAAGGTATCCGCAGAGCTCAAGAAAAAGACCCGAGAGGAACCAACATGGCGCTCTGGGCCCATCTGGATCTTTCTGTTGTCAGCACAGTGAGCAGCAGGTTCTCAAACTGAGGAGAATCCCACCAGAGCATCTCATGGTGTCTTGAAGACAGAACTACCTGATACTTAGAACCAACCTTTGGCAGAACCAACTTCCTTTATGACCACAACAGATGATGTTTTGAGAGCCTGGGAAGCTGCCCTGGGATCGAGGTACAGGGAAGCCCCGTCTTCTCCTCTCTCCCACCCCAGGAGGCCAGACTTAGTTTGGTGTGACTCCTCTGAATGCAGCTGTGATAGCGAAGGGAGGAGGTAATCAGACATTGGCTGGTGATTGTCAGAGGACCAGTAAACCGAACCGTGGCCGGCGCCTGGGCGGCTCAGTTAACTGGTTCAGTTCATGAGCCAGTCAAAGGCTGCCTTTGGCTCAGGTCATGATCCTGGGGTCCTGGGATCGAGCCCCAGGTTGGGCTTCCTTGCTCTGCAGGGAGTCTGCTTCTCCCTCTCCCTCTGCCCGCCCCCCACTCCCACTCTCTCTCTCTCTCAAATAAATAAATAAAATCTTTAAAAACAGCAACAACAAAATATGCGACCAGAACTCCCAGAAAAGACAACTCTTCTGGGAGACAAGGGCCGGGTAAGTGGTGGTGGCGGGTCGAGGGGCCACTTAAGCCAGCCCAGGTCCCCGATTACACGGAAGGCAAGTTGACTGTCAGAGTCGCCAGGACTCAGCCCGGCAGCCGCCCTCAGAGGGAGGACAGCAGGTGCACAGGCTTGAAGTAGAGAACACTGTTCTGGAAAAACGGGGACAGTTCAGCGTGACTGAGTTTTTAAACTGCAAAGGAGGGCAGGGGGCCATCAGGAAGAGTCACGTGAGCCGAGCTAACGGATCTGGACCGAATCCCGAGCACCGTGATGAGCTAATGGAGGGTGAGGCCGGGTGACTGAGCCAGAGCTGCATCTCGGGGGAACTTTCTGGCACCTGCTGTGGGGCAGACATACGGGCTGCAGCAGAGCAGCTGGGAGGCTCTTCTCACCAGCGCTGCCGGGAAGAGGAGAGGGGCCTGGACCGGCCCGCAGCCCCCGGGTGCGAGGGGGCCCCCGCCGAGCGCCGTACCTGTGCAAGGCCGAAAAGAGACTGCTTGGGCTCAGCAGCAGGGGCCCCTGAGGCAGCACCGTGCCCCTCTCGTTGACCCAGTGCAGGTAGCCCCTTGTCATGTCTGCCATCCCGATGGCCCGCGCAGAACAGTAGAGAAACTTATAGCCGTTTCTGGAAAAGAGACAAAGCATTCATGGGTCATGGCGTAGCCCCAGGGAACGGCTCTGCATGTGCACAAACCCTAACCCGGATGTTTCACACGGAATGGCACTGCTGCAAGCTTCCTTCCCCACCTGGAGGCCACATTCGAGAAAACACTCTTTTGCATTGAAAACAGAGCCTAAACGCATTGCATGGTCCCTTACAGAGCACTTTCAACTCCCTCACTCGGTTTAATCCTCACAGGAACTTTGTTCAGTAGGTATTTTCCCTCATTGTTACTGCTAGGGAAACTGAGGCTCTTCACCAACCGGCCGACCTACCTGTACCCGTCCCGCTCCCTGCACAGGGCCCCACTGCCACCTGCCAGCACCGAGCCCACCCCTTTACACACGCCGTCAGATTCTCCCCTCGGCTGCGTAGTTCCTACAAGCACGTAAATACACACTCCGCCCTCTCTCATCCCGTCCTGAAAACAACCACTGCACCAAAACCCCCTTCTCAGGTTTTCCCTCTCTCCAGACCAAATCCCATCCCCCACTCCCTAAGCAGCAAACTCCTTCAAAGGGCTGTGTATCTGCACTGACTGTACATCTCAGCCCATCAACCTCCTCCAAGCAGACTTGTTCCCCTGCCTTGCTGGGCCTGCGGGTCCCTGCGATGCCACAGCTCTCATGTGGACAGACCTCCCAGCAGCACCTGGTATGGGGGACCAGTGTTCCTCTGGAGCCCCTCTGTCCTGGCTCCTGGGACCATCTCCTGGTCTGCTTCCCACACAGGTCCCTTGGCTCTGTCTCCACCCAGGATCCATGGGCACAAGTCCCAGGGTTCTGGGGCCCTGTCCTCCTCAGCACCTAGCTCCCCAGGGGATCGCACCCACTCCCCAAAGGCTCTATATGCCACATCCAGACTGAGGTGGTGTGTACACTATCCGTGATGCTGTGATACAACACAGATAAATGTGGTCTTCATCCCCACATCCCAGCATGGAGCTTCTAAGCCCTTGGAATTTCCGGAGACTGGTCATTTACTGTTAGAAACAAGTCCCTTCCTCCAACCCAAGTTTATGCTAATGAGGCAGTCCTTGTGGGGGGGCTGGTTGCCATAGGAACCAACGAGCAACCAGAGGGTTGGAAGTTTCAGCCCCACCACCAGCCCCACGCACACAAATCCGGGGAGAGGGAGAGAGCTGGAGACCAAACTCAATCACCAATGGCCAAGGATTTGATCAGTCATGCCTACGTAACGAACCTCCACAAAACCCCTAAATAATGGGGTTCACGGTTCGAAGAAGTAGGTGAATGCATCCACGTGCTGGGAGACACCCCAACCCCACGGAGGGGAGGCCCTTCCAGGCCTCACCTCGTGTATTGTACCTCTTCACCTGGCTGTTGCTTAGTACCTCTAGAATAAACCAAAGAGTCTGCCTAAGTTCTTTGAGCCATTATAGCAAATTAATAAACCTAAGGTAGGGGGTTGTGGGGGCCCCTGATTCAAAGCCAAGTAGGGGAAAAGTGGGGGTAAGCCAGGGACCTCCTACTTGCGGCTGGTGTCTGGGATGGGAGCTGTCTTGTGGGCCTGAGCCCCTAACCTGAAGGATCTACCCCACCTCTGGGTAGTTGGGTCAGACCTGAATTGAATTGTCAGACACCCAGTTGGACTCTACAGGGAATTTCAGAATTGCTCCGTGTGACAGCCCCATGCGTTGGGTGTCCGCAGCACTGGGCGTGAAAACCAGATCACAAGATGTTCTTCAATCAAACGCAACTTTACTACTTTATTAGGACTCCATTTCACTTCTTTAAACCACTGAAAGCTTAGTGTGCAACATGAGATGTGCTGTTAATATAAAATGCATACCATGTTTCAAAGGCTTCCTATAAAAACAGAAGATCTATCCCATTAAGAATTTCTATATTGATTACATGTTTAAATGCTAATAGTCTCTATATATTGGACTAAATAAAATACACTCAACATTTTTAAACTCCGTCTTCCACTCCAGGCCTCTCTCTTAAGCTCCAGGCCAACACGTGTGGCTGCAAACCCCCCATTACTCACAGGGCACACAACAGTACCTCCCACATGACGTACCCATAGTCCAAACAAGCACAGGTGCTCCTGCCGTGACCTCCCCACTCAGTACGTGGCACTCTCTCGCCAGCCCAGGTGTGAGGCCAAATCTCAGGACCGCCCGGGTTTCTACTTCTCCTCACAACCACCACCCTCCCAGCCCCCCTACATCAGCGGGCCCCCTCATCCCACCCCAACAAGGACCCCAACCCACCCCCCAAGTGCCCTGTCACCACCACAGCCCTCGTGCACACCTCTGGGGCAGGGCCTCCTGCCTCTATGCCCACAACGACCCAAATCAGCTCCCAGAACCCCACACCAAGGCACTCAGGAAGGAAACTCAAAATCCGCTCACGTCATGCTCAAAACCCCTCCAGAATCTTATGTCCCTCGGATATAATCCAAATTCTTTGCCATGACCTATAAGGCCGGTGAGACCTAGTCCCTGCCCCTCTCTCCAACCCCGTCAGCTCTGTCACTCTGTCCCTCTGTCAGAAGGTGCCCCATGCTCGTTCCTGCGCTAGGCACCTGCACGTGCTGTTCCTCCTGCCTGGAACACTGTTCCCCACACCTCAGGCCCGCTCCCTCCCTCCCCTCACATCACCTCCCCGGAGGACCCTCCCCTTGCCCCTCCATTTAACAACCACCCTCTCTCGCCCTCACTCCAGACACTGAAGACACCGAACCCTTGCACTGCTTTATTTTTCCTAGTGGCACTCGTCACTAATATTAGAGGACAGTCCCTTGTTTGACAGTATTTCTCATGAATCCATAAGCCCCCTGAGGGCGGGGACTTTGTCTCATCCCTTGCTGTAACCCAAACACAGTGCTCCGCAAGTCACAGACGCTTAGTAAATATTGGTGCATGAACGATCACAAACTACCCACTTCCAACCCGGCTCACGGTTCCACCACAGACCGTCTTTGCTGGTCAAGGAACTCATCTCGACACTTGCTGAATAAATAATACGCTCTCTACAACCAGGAAACAGGAAACGTTTAAGACGAAGAGAATCCAGAAATACCAGCTTGTTTGGAATACAGGGATGCATCTGAAAATCAAGCAACCTTTTTAATTAAACATCTTTGTATTTTAGCTGTCTAATTAATGGAATTAAAAAAAAAAAAAAACACTATTTATATAGCTCTTCACATCAAAGTTCCTAAAAGCTGCCACCTGCAGCGGCTTGAGATGCTAATTTTATTCAAAACTTGATTTTCAAATACATTTCACGGTCTGATCAGGCCGCTGCCTTGTTCTCACTGTGCAAGTATCCTGCTTCAAAGGCCATTACTAAACAGGGCTGGAAAATCAGCTTGAAGACGTCCTCTGTGGGGGGCAGGGGGAGATGCCGGTTGGTGGCGGAGCCTTCGCCCCCATGACAGCCGTCTGTGATCCCACCAAATGCTCCAGTGGCACCAAGTCACCAGAGCTTACTCTCCAGGGAGAGGCTTGGGGGTAAGACCCCACACTCAGAAGGGCAATGCACCCCATCAATGCACCCCCAGGGGGCGCTCCCGCCCTGGGCCCAGGGTGGCCTCTGGATGCACCTGGGGCCAGCCCAGCCCTGCCCTTCAGGAATAGAAGAACACATGGGGAAACCTACCCGCCCTGGCGAAGGCAGAATACAACACGCACAGGGATTCCACTTACTCGCCTCATATCTCAGCAACTGCAACAGGGCTTGGGGGGATACCAGAGCCAAAAGGAAAGAACATTCCACGTCCAGGCTTCGCACCAACGGTTTCTCCATCTGTCCCAGCCTCTGTATCTCTCTTAAAACACTTGGCCCAGGCCAATATTAAAATAGCATGGAAAGATTATCTTTGAGGCTATCTGCCAAGATAAGCTTCTAGGCTGAAGTTTCCCCACTACTGACATCTTGGACTGGATACATAATTGTTGGGGGACAGGGCAGAAGCCCCGACAATGCCCACTGTGGGACATCTTAGCAGCACCCCCAGCCTCCACCCACTAGGTGTCCATGACGCTCCCCAAGCGGGACAACCAGAAAGGTCTCCGGACATTGCCATGGGTCCCTGGAGGCCAAAATCGCCCTTTATTGGGAGCACTGTTGTGGAGAAAAGGACCTCGTAGCCCCATTTGCAGGCCTAGAGGAAGGATAATTCCCTGCTCCCGTGAGGATGGAAGGCTCGGTGCCAAACTTAGACTTGTGCTCAGCCTGACTCTGCGATCGAAGTCTGCTCCGTCCTGGGCTCTCATGGAGGCCCAGCTTGGAAAAGCTTGCCCTGCTAGTGCGCACACCCCAGGGACCGCGAGCCCGTGACCCGTGGCTCCGAGTTTTTGGCCTGGCAGAGGCCTTGGGGGTCACCTGGCCTAATCTTCCCATCTCGGAGATGAGGAAACCCAAACCGGGAGTGGGGACAAGGACCGTGAATCCAGGGCAGGCCTTCTAAGAGCGGTCACTTTCAGAGCCCATGCGCCCCAGCGTCCCCTCAAACATCCCACCCCTGCTGGCAGCAGTCATGAGCCAGTCACCTAAGAAGACCTCGAGCGGAGGAGAGCACAAGCACTGTGGGCAGGAGAGTGGAGACCCTACCGAGCCTGCTAATGAGGGGTCCGCCCTCGGCATCCTCTTCAGGCCACGGACCCCTCCACCCAGCATGGGTCGCTGAGTCATTGCACCCGCACATATTTTTATTACACCGATATAAAAATATGCATCAAGTAAGGTGCCAAATCAGAGCAATTACTGTCCAGATTTAGCCCCCAAAAGATTCATGGGCTCAATCATCTAGATATTTTGGGAAATAGTCCTTCACTTTCCTTGTACTTATGGAACATACTGGAACCTGAAGGAGGATTTTATGTCTGCCACTGGTATTGGCTCTAGTTGTTTTGGTTTTTCTTTCTTTGAGAGAGTGCAGGTGAGGAGGTGGGGGAGTGGGGAGAGAGGGAATCTGGAGCAGGCTCCACACTCGGCATGGAGCCTGACGTGGACTCGATCTCACAGCCCTGAGATCATGACGTGAGCTGAAACCAGGACTCAGACACCTAACCAACTGAGCCACCCGAACACCCCCTCTCTTTTAATCAATAACCACGCAAGCCGTTTTCTACCATCTGAACAAGGTAACAATCGGCCCTACAGATAATTTCTCACAGCTGACTGCGCTGAAATAAGTAATTACATTTGGAAAAAAAAATGTAAATAAAATTGCTCTCGTTCTCTGTTGTTTTCAGGCAAGAGGCTATCTGCAAGACTGGGTTCTCCATCAGATAAATACTGCAGGGCCTAAAATGTAAGTACAGCCTAAATTCAGAAAAAGCAGCGTAAAGACAGAGTGATCAGTCGGCCAGCCCTGGCGTTAACAGCATCACGTTCCTAGTACTCGGGCATGCTAACCTCTCTCCGCCTAGGCCTGCGGGCACTTAGTCCCAGGAGGACATAAGAATGATCTGGACTCATGAGAAGAGGGAGCCCCCAGTGGGACCAGTCCTGAGTCCCTGCCGCTGACCCACGGCAGCCGCCCGGGGCCCTGGAGGAGGAAGCACGTGGGGCACAGCCGGGATGGGGGGTTCCGTCAAACCAACCGTCAGCCACGGGAGTGCACCACCTGCACTGGCACCCCAGGCCAGGCCAAGCCCCGGGTTTCCACAAAGAGCTCAGTGAAGAGAAAAGAGTGGCCTGGGGTTGCCAGTTCTGGCCTGGAAGGGCGTGGCGAGGACTGTGACATCTTCACGGGGCCTCACAAGCTGAAAAATGTTAAGGCAAAAATCACCCTACACCCGTTAATCGGAACCAAGGATGCTCAGCTGTTCTCTGGTAGGCTTCCTTACTTTACTTCCCAAAAAATCTCTTTTCTGGGGGGTGGGGGGGAATCAACTGTGCCTTTTTTCTTTTCTTTTCTTTTCTTTTTTAATGTACAGTAAGAGAAGGAGTAGATTTATGTTCCAAAGCCCAAAATGATTCAGGCTGTGAGCTTCTCGGTATCCTGACTCATGAGGGTTTCTTCCGACTAAAAATAGACGCAATGTTCAGTGTCGTGCCAGTCCAGAGCTCCTCGGTGGATTAGCCCTCCTCCGCGAGAGGCCAGCCGCGGTGAGGCGGTGGGGAAGGGACCAGCACCCGTGCCGTCCACGGGACTGCAGAGGGCAGCCCGGCTCTACCGATCAGATCTTCAAAGGCACTCGTCCTGACCATCCGTCCTACTTCTGGGAATCTGCCTCACCCCCTCCCGACATGCGTGCACCTTTGTATTTATTTATGGGCTCATCGTACATAATGAACCTCCATGTAAGTGCTTCGCACATCAGTCTGGGAAACAGTGAAAAAAACTGGAAACTCCCTCCTCCGGGCACCAACAGAGGACTAGTTAAAAACAGCATGGTTTATCCACATTACACAACGGGGGCCGCACCGGAGAATGAGGTAAATCTTACATGTAAGGGACAGAAAGACGCGTTACTAAATAACGCAGGCATGCGTGTGTCGGGGGGCGTGGGGAGAGCGGAAATGGATTTTAAGGACACCGAGACAGAACCAAACTGTGCACCGTGGCTCCACTCCGGGAAGTGGATTAGCCTGGCGGCAGGGTGGAGAGGAAGACGATGATGACCTTCCTACTCTACAATTTCTCTCATTTTTCTTATTTCTCTTCATTTTTTAAAGAAGCATGTACTACTTTTGTAATTTTTGGAAGAAGAAATCTGGAAAAGTAAGGTCAAGCCAATGAGGGGGGCCCCTAAGAGATCAGAGGCCCTCAGCCCCACCAGGATACGAGGCCCCATCCCAGCCACGCCGCCCCCACTGCGGCGTGAGGCCCAGGCGGCCAGACGCCGTGGCTACTTCCCGACATCCCGAGCACCTGTCACTGAGCCGAGCACACAACAGGCACTCAATAAATGCTGGGTGAGTGAATGAAGGAGGGGCAGGAAACTATGCTTCATTCATCGGTGCTCCCAGAGTACAGGCAGCGCTCTCAGTGCCCACTCCCAACCCCCACTGTCACCTCCGTGGGCCAGGGGTGAGCACATCAGCTCGGGAATCATGGGCCTGGTTTTCCGGCCTGACACCCACTTAGTGTGTAATTCCTCACCTTCCTCAGCCAGGGAAAGGTGGGGTGTCCTGCATTGGCCTAAGGCACCTTCCAGCTCAAGCGGCTGGAGAAGAGAAATCACTGGAGGGAGAGGTTTCACGGGTGAGGAGACTTTAGTCCACAGAAAGATGGAGAAAGTGAAGAGCCAGTGTGGGGAGGGAGAGAGCCCGATGGGCCCTACGCCAGAGCCAGACCAGAGTAAACGGAATGACCGTGGCACTGAGCAGACCAGGCCTGAAGGCACCCTGCCTCCCCTTAGCCGCTGGTAATGCAGACCAACCACTTCCAAGGGAAAGAATGATATTAATTCTTAGAGTAATTTGGAAAAGCTAGTAAGTGAAGCAACACGTGCCCAACAGAGGCCAGCAGTTTAAGATCCACGCTCCCCCCGGACATGCCAGGTATGGCCCCAGAGCAGCCACTCTTCTGCGTTTTGGCCACACAGCGGAGGACCCCCCAGGCCGGTGGACAGGAGGAGCACCACAGCCGAAACCTGCCAGGAATCCGCACCTTTTCAGCCTGAACGACGTGGCTGGGCCGCTATCAGCCATCTCACCTCACCTGAGGGGACAGTCCTCAGTAGGAACTGAACCTCAAGACCTCCCCTAATGCCACCACCCTTCTTTGGCCAAGAACTTGGGAGCCTCCTATCACTTCCTTTCTTGTCTTCTGGCACTGAATTCATGCTTGGGAACTGGCAGACTGAGCACTCACTGTGTCCTCAGAATCCCCCACACCCCCACTGACCCTCCTTGACGGAGGTGTACCCCCTTTGCAAGTCACGTTCAAGGTCAAGGTTCTGCGAGCAAGGTGTCGTGTGTGCACCAGCAGCGCGCGAGAGATGGGGACAGGCACTCGGTACTTACTGGCTCACTTTATGGTACAGCTTAGCGATGCCCTGGTGGGTCCAATCCTTGCCCAGGGTGGGCAGAATGTGGCCAAGAGTATCAGATCTAGATGAAGACAGAAATGAGAAAAATACAATGAAAGGGGCAGGACAACAGAGAAGAAAGCCCATTCCCATTCACTGGACCAGAAACACTTCATAAAATATGTCGGCAGGTCTCACGACGTTCTCGCTGGAGAAAGCCCAAACCTGGAGTAACCAGAGGAGAACACGCACGCAGGGGATATGTTAACCCCCAAAAGGGCACCTTCTCACTGACCACGTGTCAAGTCCACGACTTGCTAAATCAAAGAGAAAAGGCCACTTGCAAAGATGCTCTTGGGAAGCACCCACGTGAGCAACCTCGCAGAGCAAGCGCCACACCCGAACTACGGCTGTTTAGGGCGAGGAGCGAAGTTTCCACGGCTGCACCAGAAATGGAACTGCGCGAGCCCCATGACGCCACAGAGAACAGAGAGGCCGGCTCCGGGCCTGGGCTCCACAGGAAGGTGAACTCACCCACGGCCCCCGAGGCGGCCAGACCTACCTGGTGATGGTCCCATCGATGTCCGAGATGATGACTTTGTCGTCCCAGTTCCACAGGTAGATGGTGCCCTCACAGCGACACGTGCCTTGGTACTGAGTGGTCACGCTGAACACCACGTCATTGGGGCCATTCTTCAACTTCAAGCTTTTCTGAAAAACACGAGCCATGTGCCCACTTGAGGGAAGGCCCAGACTGAGGGCTATTTGGATTCCATCCCATGAGACACTATTTAGGATTATTTCTTAAACTTACTGCCCTAGGCCACTGTATAATTCTGCCTATAGGTAACGTGGTTCGCGCCAGGATTTGGGCAGAACCCGGCTCTCCCCCTCAACCCCTCCATAAGGCAAGCTCACCCGCCTCCTGCAGGATTGACTGACAGGCTGGAAGGCTGACCACAGGAATTCACTTTAGAATGGGACACACATCCTACTCCGTGAATAAATAAAAGGGCCACAACGGGGGAGACAAAGCCAAGTGTGGAAATATGTTTCCCTGAATAACACAGACCCAAGGAACTCGCAGCAGACGCGGAAAGCAAAATTACGTTTCGGCGGTTTTGCATCTCACTACTGGGACCCTCTGGTGCATGCCCGCTGGCTGCTGACTCGGGTCCCCCAGCATCACTGGCCTGAGCCACATGCCACACAGTGGCACAGAGCCTGCCAGGCTGCAGGGTGCACTGGTGGCATCAAGTGGGGGGTCTGGGCCTGACCTTCTCCCTTGAAACACCATCACAGCTGAGCCCGCCCCCAACCCCTTCTCAGGATAAAAGCAAAAGAGGGAGAATATTTGCTCACTGACTGTCCAGGGAAAGAAGGGTCTGACACCCCCACAGAAGAGGACACTGTGACCATGACAGTCCCCTGCCACCTGAAACTCTCTAAGCCCCAACGCAAGTGCTTGATTCCCCCCAATTTAGGAGATGCACTTGAGTTAATAAACATCTCTCCAAAAATGGAAAGAGCCTGGGAGCTTCGGGTCTATCAGTCATTCACATCTAAGGATAAACCAGCCTCCTCGGGCCGCCCTCCTCCGACACCTGGGAACAGGAGGCTCCAGGGCTCCGTCAGGGAAGACAAAAGGGAGGTGAGACCCCGGGGCCGGCCTGGCCAGGGGCTGAGCTTGGGCCAGGGAGCGGGAAGGGCACCCAGACCACCAGGCCGTGGAGTCTGGGCGGCCCCGCCTCGGCCAGCGCCCGCGACGCGGCGAGGGGAGAACCAGACACACACCAGCTGCTCGGAAGTGAGCCGCAGGGTCTTCCTGTAGCTGACTCCGGACAACAGAGGGAGGTGGCTTGCGCTTGGTGGCTTGGCAGCTGTGTGCTCTTCATCACTGGAGGACGATTCGTGCTTTATTCTGGAACACACAGTGATGTAATCACCAATTAGGAAATGCATCTGGGTAGCCATTAAAAATGCATTAGGCCGGAATCAATGACGGAGGCAATCGGGTGTCTCCCGAGTACCGTCTCTTGGGTGGTCATTACCATATGCCGTTACATTTATCAATGAAGGCTCACTAACCCCCATTCATACGCCTCCTGCATTATTCATCTGGGGCTGCCGCTCCTCATTCACTTCCCTATTTACCAGCCATCATCGCTCTATTTTAAACCAAGACACTGCTTCTTGCTGAGAAACAGGGTTAGGCCCCCTCCTTCCCCAGAAGGGTGCTCGCAAACATTCTCTTCTGGAATCCAGGTCCAAGGCTGCAGGCCAAGAAAGGAGAAGTCCAGATTTCTACACACCCCGACTGATGGGCTCCATATTTATACCTCTCCAAACGCACATCTCCGGACAACTAGGAAACTGCGGGACCCCCTGACAGGTGGAGACAAGGCAGGCAGGCATCAGTCCTCCTCCGGAAGCCCTGAGCGGGCTGTCCCACCGGCAAGGGCTGCACACCTCATCCGCCTGTGCAGAACCCAGAGGGCCAAGCCTCCAGACTCTTCTGGACTTATCTGTTTGGTGCAAGGCTGGGGATCGCAGGTGGGAAAGCAGGCTCTTTTTCTTTAAACGGTTCTTACGAAGCCTACCAGTCATTAGTTGTTCCCTCGACTAAACCCTGCTTGAGCATAACCCCCAGCCTGGCAGCATTAGCCCTGCTTTCTGCGACCGTTACCTTCACAACGTCTCAACACTATAGAGTTAATAAATGTTTGCTAAGGCTGCGTGGGAAGGGCCGAGAGGCCCCGAGCAGGCACGTCCCATCCTCGGGCGCACACTTCCCCACGAAGCTTCCGGCTCCAGACACCACTCCATGCGAGACTGACCCTCCTGGGAGCTCCACCTAATCTTTGTATCTGGATGATCTCCGACTCTCAATGCTCAAGTCCCCTTGTCCTCCGACCTCCCATTCACTCCCACCTCCCTTCCCCATCCCGTGCAGCCCTTTGCTTACTCGCCCTGGGGGTTCATTCCAAAGCAGTCCCTGCAATCCGGGGCCGTCCCAAACTAGGGAGACATGAGGGAGGACACCAGGACACAGCACCCACTTCTCTGTTATTTCTAAGAGGAGACGGGCCTCTTTCCACACCCAGAATGATCAGCCCTTCCCCAGGCGCCTGCTGCCCTGCCCCACAAGAGGGAGCCCGTGGGCTGCGGGCTGGAGGACTGGAGCTTGGTCACCTGATGCTCCTGGTGCCGTGCTGGCCGCTGTGGATACGGCAGACAGACCGGCCCCCGCTCTGCCCAGGCGCTTCGTCTAAACCATCACAACGCAGCAGGACATGAGCTCTGATGGGAAAGCAGACTTGGCTGTCACCAGATATGGTGACTGTGCTGAATGAGCCACAGGGACAGGTCGCTGGCGTGAGGGCTGGCATCCTGCTCGGTACGTGGCAGGGCCGGGCTACGTGTGTATGGATCGAACCCGTGACACTGTGCGGTTTCCAGGTGCAGTGAAAACGGCACAGGGGCTGGGACCTGAGAAGCCCCAGCTGGCACCGCACAGAAACCAGCTTGCCACCCACCCCAACTGCTGCTCCTTACAGCCCTGCTTTCCTCATCTCAAAACGGAGAGGAGCAAACGGCGTCACACCCACCAGCACACTCAGGATACAGGCAGGGAACAGACAGGAAGGACGGGACTGGGAGACAGGAGCCCCACTCACGGAAGGCCTCATGACCAGAGGATTCCTCTTGGGGCCTCTCGCTCATCTGTACAAAGCCACAGTCCTTTCCAGTTCTGCCCCCCATCCCCCGGCTCCTGTGAACAATGCCTGTTCCTCTGAACATACAACCCACAGATGCCCAGTCACGGAAGACACAGCCCTAGAGCTGACCCGGCCGGACATGTGGGAAGCCAGGCGGGAACCCAGAGATAGACCAGGCCGCAGGCCCCTCGCTGAATGGGGAGACACCACAGCTCCAACCAAATGGCCTGGAGTGAGATGAGATGCCAATGGGAACCAGAGCTCTGATGACACAAGACTGATGGGTGCTCCCGCTCGGAGGGTTCAGAAGCAAGGCAGAATCGCTGTTCACGTCCATGAAAAAAAAGTTAAAAACCCACCAACTCCGTGCAGCACACCAGGTTCGAGGGGAAACGGACGCAAACACTGCGACGGGAGTCGTACGCTGGCTGCTGGTAGAGCTGGCTCAGGGCGAGGCGGTGGCCTCTGGGGGCTCTGTCCCCTTCCACCGCACGCAACAGCAGCCCCCAGCGCCGGCCCCCATGCTTGCAAGGGCTCCACAAGCTGGTGCCCGCTTTCCGACACCGGCAAGAAGAAACCAACAGAACGAAAGGGCTCATCTCGCTCGAAAGTCTGTTCAGAGAGTAGCTGCGAACAACACCTCACTTCACACTCGTCACGGTGCACGTTCTTCAAACAGTATTTTAATGATTTGTGTAGTGACAAGCATTTTGTTCAATTAGGAGACCGCGGAGACCACTCTGCCAATCACGTCTGTCAATCAGGAGAGCACTCCAACGCCTTCTCTCCGCCGGCTGCACGGAGCAGCCTGGGAGGCTCTGAGTCTGAGACGCCAGTAAAAATTAAAAGATTTCTGTTTCTCCAAGGACCTCTGTGTTAATACCTTGCAAAACCTCAATTCCTTCTTGCAAGAGTCAATGCTTCATCTTCCAGGTTTAATCAAGAAGTGTAGGGACTAGCTCAGAATAGGGAATGGTCTTAGATGACTGCTAGCTAACAGGGAACAGCATCTGTGCCGACGTTCAAAGAGGAGTGGTAAGAAAACCAGCGCTACTTCCATCGAACCTCGCCAGCTGATGCCACAGCTTGGGAGGGGCCGACCCGGGGTCTTGCTGCTCGTTACCCGACGCCCCAACCCCCAGCAACCTCCCCGGTCCTCCACGTGGCTGCTGGCAAAGGGAGAGGACCGACCAGTAGCAGATGCCCTGGTGTGCCACACTGTCACGTTCTGTGCCTTTTTTATTATGATTTATTTATTCTAGAAAGAGAGTGTGCGCACACAGGGGGGCAAAAGGAAAGGGAGAGAGAAAATCTCCAGCAGACTCCCACTGAGCTCGGAGCCTGATGCAGGGCTCAATCCCAGGACCCTGAGATCCTGACCTGCGCCGAAATCAAGAGTCCTCTGCTTAACCGACTGAGCCACCCAGGCACCCCATGGTCTGTGCCTTTTCAACCTTGGGCCAGGTCCATCGAGAGCGGCCTCCTGACTGCGCCCACCAGCCACCACAGGCACACCTCCTGTGTGGCCCTGCTGGGTTTTGTATTCTGATCTCCTTTCTCGTGAAGATGCCATGAGAATTACATCAGCTGCTATACATGGGATGGGGTTGGCTTCCTTCTTAGCCCCATTTCACAGATGGAGGAGGAGCCACTGTGGGGCTGATGAACTCACCAAAGGTCACATGGAAGGTTGACAAAGCCTCTGCTCTATGTCCTGCCCGTGCTGCCTCTCGTGTTTGGACATCGTGGCTAAGACAAAGATGGTTCTTGGAAAGAATTCCAGGAGAACAGATGTTTCCAGTGAAGCTAAACCCCAGGGTTAAACGCTCAGGACAGTTGGGCTGAGTCCTCTGCCGGTGTCTCCTCTCACTGTGCTGTCTCTCTCCTGGGCTGCCTCCCCCGCTGCTCTGGACGTGAGTATCACACCTGCTCCTCCGCTCGGATACAGAAACCAGTTTCCCCAGAGCCGGGATTCCAAGCCAGGTGTGCCTGACTCCCTGTCCCTGCGTCTGTGGCCTGCTGCTGCCCACTTGCGGGTGTGAACGACGACCCCACTGGCCGTCCGCTGACCTCCAGCCCAGCTGCTGTGCACATGCCCTCACAGGACAACACAGCCTGCACTCCTTCTAGAACACACCCACTGTCTCCCTCCCGAGCGCATGCAAGGTCACACTCAACATTCCAGGCCGGGAAGGTATCCAGAAACCACGCTTGATGGCCCCTTTCCAGAGAACAAGCCAGGGATGGAGGGCAAAAAACTGAAAAGTCAACTCTGCTTCCCCCTCCAGGGTGGAGGGGCAGAGGGTCAGGTGGGAAGCGGCAGTGTGGGCCCGCCCCATGGGAAACAGCAAGGGTGTCCCCAGTGGTATTCTAGCCGAGAGCTGGCGAGGCCTCTTAATCATCTTCAAAAGGTCCCACACATTCTTCTACACACAGAGCAATGAAGAAATCAGGTTTCTTCCTACTACCTGTATGGGTTTCTAGTTCCACAAGGGAACGACTGTGGATGCAGAGCGACAGCCAGGAGGCTGAGGACGTGCAGCCTGAGCCTGCCTTCTCTACAAATCAATAATGTGCTGCGAAAAACTTAACGATTCCGTCATAAACTCAACAATGCTTACGAAGGGCCCGCTGTGTATGAGCATCTAGGATCTCCTTGGATCCTCTAGGATCCTCTAGGATCTCTTTGGATCCTCTAGGATCCTCGAGGATCCAAAAATGACTGAGATCTGCACCGTGTTAGTTTGTCGGTATTTAGTTTGTTGGTATTTGCTGCTCGCTAAATAAGAAAGGCGATCCAGGCTTGCTGGGGGGCAGGCATAGTCCAGGGTAAGGCACTAGGTGAAAGGAGCCACATCGGCTCACTCAGCATTGATGGACAGCGTCGGCGTCAGAACCAGTATGCGATGGCTTTGCCCTCGGATCAGCGACCCTCAAACCCCATACAAATTGACCGGAAGACAAGACGTGATCAGTTATGAATCGTATCAATACTGAGAAAAGCCCTGATACGCCCCAGTAAGTACTGAAACCATAGAGAAAGGCAATTTCCTCCAGAAAGGAACTTATTTCCACGCTGCTGTTAACACTCATTTTGTCATTGTCACCATCATTGTCATCATCACCACCGTGGCACTCTATGTCCAGGGCCATCACACACCAAGACCCTAGAAACGCTCTACTTTCGTGACCTCCCAGAAGCCAGGTAGGTGTTGAAGGGGGCGGCTGCATCCGTTCGATCACGGGAAACCACGTGAGGGAAAATGGCTCCAGGTCGCTGGGTCAATACAGAGCCAGGGCTGCAAGCCAGGGCCGCCTGTCTCTTTGGAGAACCCTGTCAGCCCCCGGCAGGCATGTGCCATGCCCTGGGACGCAGAAAGGAGCCGCCACAGCCCGCGTGGACTGGCGCTGTACCTGGTGGCCATGCCGAGCGTCGACGGCTGCTCCCCGGTGCTGTGGCTCTTCCCAGCCAAGCCCTGCTCCGGCTTGCTCTCCTGGAGAAGAAGACAGGAGAGAGTCACAGGGTACCAAGGAGAGGGACCTGCATGACACAGCTGGGGTTTCAGGATGGGCTCCCCTAAAGCCTGGGGCACGGCCCCAAATGCCGTCCCCAACGTTACACACCCCAGGCATGGCAGGTCCCAGTTACTCCTTTGCTTGGAAGTGTTCAATTAAGCTGAGAAAATTTTTTTGACAGAAATGAGTCTGTTTTCCATAAGTGTTTGTGGCACCAAACCAAACTTCATAATCACTGGAGCTTATGCAAATGCTTTATCGAGGGCTGCCTGGATACCTGAATATTTTCAAAATATTTTCTTATAATTGCTGATAGAAATGCTTGAAAATATTTTCACACCATATTTTGCTTGGGAAAATGTGGATGCCTTCTCTCTTTTTCAATGCCACACACTCTTAATAGAAATGCTCCTTCACTGTACTGGGAAGAGCTCTGGAAGTCTATGACATCTGGGCTCAGTTCTGCTTCTCCCACTTGGGAAGCTTGGGCATGCCCTGGAACCTTCCAGAGCCTTGTCTCCTCACCTGTAAAAGGGGGGTGATAACATCCATCTCCTAACGCTGTTGGGAGGACCACAGAGAAGCTGCACCTATAAACAGAGCCTGGCCCACAGCAGGCCAGGGAGGAGAAGACACCCACTAGCCCCACAGACTTCATGGGAAGTCATCAGACAGAATCAGCCAAGGACAAAGGGTGTACAGTTAAATCCCATTACTTGGGATCATTTGGTCAGGAGGTAGGTTAATGCTTTCAATGTTAATAAAGAAAATGAGCAAAATAAATAATGTATTAGCATAACCATCTTAACCCAGGATGAGCACAAACTACCTACCTACCTACTACTAACTACCTACTAACGATCTACTAACTACCACTATCAATAATTCTTTAATAGATGAATTCAAATATATCTATCTATCTGAAATAAATGTATTTCAGGTTTTTTAAGAAATTTTTTATTTCATAACTGTTCCTTCATGCTGGTAATCCCCTTAATTCAGACTGGTGACAATGTGACTACTCTACAATACACAGGCCTTTGAAATAGGAAATAGCCCTCTGCCTAAGTTCTAGAACATTCTACTCTCTAGTAAGGGAACTAGAAAGACCCTTCATGTTTTAAGTCACCTAAAGTAAACCATATGTTTGCTCTAACTTGTTTGTATCTCTTGCAGATAATGGGATAATCAATAAAACTTATGAATGCTAAGAAAATCAAAGAACAATTTTATCTTGATAAAACTCTTCCAACAGATTTTTTCCTTTGGAACTCATGGAATAAATTCAGTGAGGTCACTGGCATTTCTGTATTATAATAACCAACTTGATTGCTATCCTTGGGGTTTCTTTACACTATATTCCAAAAGTAACCAGCATTCCCTCAAACAGTCACCAAACCCCTCTTCTGTGTCCAGTATGGGCACCAGGGATATCCAGGGATCAGAGCCAGACATGGTCTCTGCCTTTCTGGAGTTTAGGATGTAGAGGAGAAAGAGATGTTAATCAGTCACACTAATATGTGTACAATTACAAACACTGAAAAAATGTATAAAGGCAAAGTTCATGGGCAGGACTATGAGAACAGAGAACAGCAGCCCAGACTAATCTGCTGAGAAAGAGTCTTTTGAGATGCTAGTTAATTAAGTGAAGGGGTCCTGGGAACACCAGGCAGAGGAAACGGCATATGCAAAAGTCCTGGGGTAGAGTGCATATTTAGCCAGTGACGCTAAAACAGGGAGGGCAGAGGGAGATGGACAAAAATGGCTAAAGAGGGAGGCAGGGGTTAGGACACACAAACACAGTAAACCATGCTAAGGATACTGGTCTTAATTATGAGAGCCCTGGGAACCCAAAAGCTTTAAGGAAGGAATAACATAAATTGGATGCAGTATCCTAGTTGACCAATGTGACTACATCATAGTGGCTGAAGAAGAGAGGGCAAGAAGAGACAGTTGACCATGGAAAGCAATCCTGGGACAGATGGTACAAGCCGACATTTGGGGGAGTAGTACTGGACAGCGATGGGTACAACTGAGAAATATTTAAGATGGTAAACTGATAGGATGTGGTGATGAACTGAATTCAGGAAATGAAAAAAAAGGAAGTGTCTCGCCTGTGGACATCCTTCCACAGGCACCCTTTTCTGACTATGGTCCAACAAAGGAAGAATTCACAAGAAAACCATGAGTTCACTCTTGGAAATAACCCAGTTTAAGGTGTCTTGAAGGATTCGCATGGAGATGTCCATAGTGCTGGCTACTTGAGAACTGCATGTGAAATACAAAAGAATGTCTGGTTTGGAAATCAAACATGGGTGTGAGTAGGGCTGCCTAGGGAAAGGCAGGCGGTCCAAGCAGAAGACCAGACCCTGGGACAACCCTCAGTAACCCCCCTTGTGGGGGCAGAGCCAGGGTGAGGCCAGCCTCAGGAGCAAGAGTACCAGGTGGGCACAGGGCCATGGAAGTCAAGCAAGCAAAGGGCTTCAAGAAAGGATGGAGAGGCTGACAGATCTGGAAAAAAGCACAGGCATCTACAGATACAGACAGAAAAGTCCCACATATTTAGACACACCATTTAAGTCAAAGGACTGATGAGAATTAGTCTACCACTCTAAGTATTACCTCATTACAGTTACACTCACAAGCAGCAAGAAGGCACTTGACTTAAAAAAGAAAATTAAACTATCAGATTAAATCCCCTGTTTTGACAGACGAAGAAATTCCAGAGGAGTGGCCACTTGGCCACGGGCTCCCAGCCAGGTAACAGGGTCGGGAGGTGAAGCCACACCTCCTCTTCCCCCGTACCTTCCCTGCATTCTGGGAGGGCTGCCCCTGCCTCATGGCAGAGTGGCCCATGAAAACTCAATATTATGGTTTGTGTTTCCTTCTCTGACGTACAAGCATGAAAACGCACTCGACTACACAAATGCCCAAACTGGCTGAGCTAAGTAGAAACACCCTTTTGTCTTCCATGCTTACCTCTTTGATTGTGGTATTTCTTCCCCTCCATGAAAACCACCATCTTCCTCCCTTTCTGGGCATCTTATCCCTCATGATAGATTCCACAGTGGCCTGTTTTAAATGGATGGTAACATAAATAATGGAACCAAAAAAAGATAACTTAGCACATCCAAACCAAAAGACATACACATGCAAATTAAAGTAAGATTAAAAAAAAAAAAATCAGAGAAAACACAACATACTATTTGTGTACTAAAAATTTTCGAGAAGCAAAACCTAATGGCGTCCAAAATCACTTGAAGATAACTTAAGCATGAAGACTTAAGAAGATGTTAAAGGAATAAACAAACAACAAATAAAATACAACACGACAACAACAGAAAAAGAAAGCATTGAAAATCATTAGTGATTAGTTAAGACCAAAGGTTTCCAAATTAAAGTGATTTACTGGTTAAGCTACTGTTACTCTCTCAGTATGATGATTATAAAATTAAAAAATGAAATTATTAATACGGAGTATAGGGTAAAACATTTTAAACAAAGAGTAAAATGCACAAGATCTCTTTAGTAAATGTAAAATGCCAAATTGAGACAAACTGAACCTTAGTAGATGCAAATTGGGTTAAAACCTCAAGTATTAAAAAGAAAACTCATACTCTCACCCTAAAGAAATGAAAGTTTAATGAAGGAAGATTAAATATTAATTAATAATTTTCTAAGTACTGCCAAAGAAGAAAATATCTATCATGAGAATTCCAGCACCAAGTACACAGTATCTCCTCTCCCCTCCTTGTTTCACAGATCAAGGAGTGGACTCCCCACCCACTCTCCCCCTTCTCCCCGCTAGTAACAAAAGCAATTTATGTCTTTCGACCAAACAGGATTCAGGTTAAGTGAGAGATTAAAAAAAAAAAAAAAAAAAAAATCACATACCCCCCCACCCCGGTGTGCTTCTTTTTAGCATTTAAAAGTCTCTACTTGATACAAAAGAAACTGAATTCATGGAAAACCAAACCATGAGAACACTATTTGCAAAGAGGATAACGTGGACAGGTGTGTATATTACCCTATTCCTCCTAAACTCATCTATAAATGTAACAAAACCCCAATTAGAGGAAAAAAAACTAGCAGGATTATTTCTATACCTAGACAAAGCGATTCTAAAGTTCATTTATACAACAAAAACAGCCAAGAAAATTCAGATAGACGAGTATTATTAAGTTGGTACGAGCCTTACTACATATTAAAATTGAAAAGCTATCGTAATTAAAAGAATGTATTTTGGTACATGAGTAAACATATACATGGGACAGAAGACAAAGTCCAGAAAAGAGACTAAATTCATAAAGAAATAATCATACACGCGGTAGCTCTAACTGCATATTGGGGGTTAAAGCGTTATCTAGCAAAAGGTACTGAGATCATGAGGTAGTTATGCCGGACCCGGTTACTGGCCTCCCTGGGCACATCATCCCCTCCCTTTCTCGCCAGCACATCGGAAACTGTTCAAGAATCGGGCGCCACAGGTTCTGACCTCGCTTGGTCTACCCCATTCCCGTTGGTTCCACTGTTTTGCCAGCAAGTGGCTTGGAGGTGATCATGTGACCACGTTGTGGCCAATGAAATGTGAGAAGCCTGTCCCTACCCTTCCTATTGGGGTAAGGCTGTTTGATAGGAAGAAGTTGGGGACAGTGACCTTGAGATCATAAAGGGAAAGGCAAGACAGTCACGGAGAAGCTGACCCTGAAACTACCAAACTCGAAGATGCTTACTATGTCAGATGAAAAAGGCTGTTATTCAAGCTACTCGTAGTCATTCTGTTTCCTACAGAGCTTCCTGATTCGTAACCAGCTGGGAGAGAACTGATCAGGCTCCTGATACCTCACTCACTCACAAAATAAAACCGAGACAGATCAGGCATTTAAGAAAGTGCTAGGGGAGGGGTGCCTGGTGATTCAGGGGGTTAAACATCCAACCCTTCATCTCCACTCAGGTCTTGATCTCGGGTTTGTGAGTTCAAGGTCCGCACTGGGCTCCACACTGGGCGTGGAGCCTACATAAAAAAGGAAAAAAAGAAAGTACTAGGGGAAAAGCTGGCATATTTTCACAAGTTTTGGAAATGGGGAAGCAGGGCCGTTATAAGTATGATACGAGATCCAATAGCCTTAAAGGATGGACAAATTCTACACATAAAACTAATTCTACATTAAAAACACCAAACAGAGTCAAAGACCTACTGACAGCTTGTAAAAAGATTCAGAGTGAGTATTACAAAGCCTCAGCTAAGGAGCCATGCGCCCATCTTCTGTGAGCTAAACCCCTGCGAGCTAAAGGGCATTTCTATTGCGTTGATGTCCCGAGCACAGCAGGTGTCGGAAAGGAACCCAGAGGAGGCAGGAGGCGGTCCGGCGCTGCCCCAGTTGGGAGGTTTTGCCATGATGAACAGGAAGGGGAAGGACATTCAGGGTGCAAGGGAGGCAGGTTCTAAACTCCTGACCTCAATGGTCATGAACTTCAAAAGAACACCACGTAATTAACTTTGTGCTTCTAAAGTCGAAGTTAAATTCCAGCCACCCAGATTCATCTACCCATGATAGTGCCTCCTCTTCTGCCTCGTGTTCAAGCTCACCTTTGGCAAAGGTTTCTGGAAGGCCTGCATTGCCAGGAGCAAGGGCGCCGCTGTCGTCCAGTTATAATATCTGACGTGGGAAAATGAAACAGATGTCAAAAACCATGGCTCGGACTGAAAAATCTTCCTAGTGTCACGAGAAACAGTCAAGGAAAGCTCTGGAACCCCAGCTGGGTCCTTAATGAGCCCAAGACTGTTGACAACACCCCGGCCTTCCCCATTTGCCCCTCACCCTGCCAACCCCCAGCAACCACTCTTAGGGGCCAAGCCGAGACCAGCGGAGGCTGTGGGAGCCTGCGGCCAGCTGGTGGTGAGCCCGAGCTCCCCAGCTATCGAGCCACCGACGTGCCAAGGGCATTTCTTGCCACACTTCATGGAAAAGGCAACTAGGTACCCCAAGTTAGGACCTACTCAACACCTGACTTCCTCTCGGGAAAAAAGTTTGCTACAAAAACACCTGCACAGTCCCTGACCTCAGAAACCAAAGCTTTCACGGGTAGATAAGCAATCTGTGCTGCGAACACCCATGGACGATGTGGGCCTGAGGCTCAGAGGCCAAGGGCCGAGACTAGATGCATTCCGGTACGAAACCTAGTCCGGGGGCGCCGGGGTGGCACAGTCAGCTACACGCCCCACTCTTGGTTTTGGCTCAACATGATCTAGGGTCATGAGCTCGAGCCCCACGTCGGGCTCTGCACTCCGCTGCAAGTCTGCTTGTCTCTCTCCCCCTCCCTCTGTCCCCCTCTGCTCATGCTCGCGCTCTCTTTCTCTCTCTCTGAAATAAACAAATAAATCTTTTAAAAATCCAGTACAGGTGAGTATTAAAACCCATAAGATTGACACTTACACCAACCTACCAACTATAGAACAACACAGTGCTTTGCCTACAGTGAAGAGGTAATAATAAATTTTAACAAAGACTTCACCTTACGTATTTCTAAGGTCTATTGTCTGGACCTTTGCTTTTAAAAAACTGAAACACAAACCGTACTGTGAGACGGCCAAAATGACTTCCAAGAGGAACCTACTTATTCCCGATCTTCACCACGAGATTGGGATCATCGATGAGAGCCGGGTTGTCCACAAACTGTTGATACGACACGGCTTGTTCCAGAAATGCATCTGTGAAAGAGATCGTAGGAACAAGGAGAAAACAGAAGGAAAATTTTGTTCAGAAAAACAGGCTTACATTTCCCTTGCTTGTTCACAAGTGTCGTCTCGGAGCCGACACATTCCAGCTGTGTAGACAATTCTTCAAATGCATTTGTAAAGAGGCCTGAGTTTGGTGGCAGCATCTGTGCAGAAATGGGGGCGGCTGGGGGCAGTCCAAGGCTGTGGGGCAAGCGTATGCCCGGGCAGCGAGGCGGGGAGCAGGCATATGGAAAATCCAGTTTCCCCACACATCTCCGGAAGCAGGTGACTGGTAAGTAGGCTCAGAAACCAGACCACCCAGTTTCAGTCGCTTTTACTGGTGTGAGCCTGTGCAGAGCAAGTACTTAATTCCCTCAAGCCTCAGTTTCCTCATCTGTAAATGTGGATCAAGAACCACGCCCGCTTCCTCGGTGGCTGTGAGGCTGGGAAGCACAATGTCCAGCCTAAAGCAAGGACTCGCTCGATGTCGGTGGGCGAGGTACTGGTCACTGTCACATGAAGGAAGTGCGGAAGACAGCACGGCCTGACCTGCTGACCCAGCCCCACCACGTTCCGGGAGGCAGGAAGGCCTTCAGCCCTGATTCTAGCTTCTGTGATGAGCTCTGGCCTCCACTCGACGTCCCCCGCTCAGCTGGCCCTGGCTTGAGCCTTGATGTGGGCTCTGACCACCTACCTCTCTGGCACTAATTTGTCCCTACTCCTTCCCGGGGCGGGGGGAGGAGTTCCTATAGACCCTAAATGGAACCAAGACCCAGGAGATCCCAGACCTGTCCAGCAGGAAGAGACCCGTTGGTCAGGAGGCTGACCCAGACTGGCCACGACAGGTACCTCTGGTACCCTAATTCACGCCGCTAGGTACTCTCCTCAGGGGCTCCTGCTCACAGGCTTCTGGCCTCATCTGAGCAGACCCCTGGGAGGACACTCAGTGCAAGTGTACAGGAGAGCGGGTGCCATGGGACACCAGTCCCTCGCACCTCTTCAAGGCCCCACAGTGGCTGGTGCTAGAGATTTGGACATGGCTGGCTATTAGAGGGGAGGGGGTCTTCGAAAGACTGCTTGTGAGGGACTAAACCAGCTGGATCACACTGAACTATGTATTTCAGTTCAGCTCCAGGGGATGGATTAGCTAGCTCAGGTTCCAGAGCAAGGAGCCCCAGCCTTTGTGTGAGAAGAACTTCACAGAGCCCTGTGGGGACTCCGGGATAGAGACAGGAGTCTAGGATGGCAGCTCAGGGCAGGAAGGGAAGAGGGTGGTGAGGGGGGGGAAGCGCACAGCCTCACCCCTTCCCCACTAGAGAAACAGACCATGGTGGGGGGATGGGGGTGACGAAAAAGAGAGAACAGTGTAAGTGGAGGGAGCGGTAGAGGAAGAAGAGAGAGACACTCAGGGCCACTAATGCCACTCGAAGGGTTCGTCAGCTGGTGACAGCTGATGCATCTGCTAGGGGTCTTAGGGCCACCTCACCACGTAGCTGTCACGAGACCCTGGGAAACCACCGTTCTAAATCTGATGGACACCACGAACTAATTCACCATGTACACCAAGCCTATGAGCACCCCTGAGATCCAGCTGGCAACCGCCCCTGAATGTGCTCAAATCCAGACGTCTCTCCCTCCCCAAGACCCCACAGCCTTTCTGCACACTTCCAGTGCCCTGTGACTCCGTGACCCCGACATTCCCCCTGGGCTGCGGGCTCCCAGAGGGCACCACTGCAGAGCGGGCACAAGGCAGGGAGACATACACAGATGCTCAGCAAACACGCGTGACGCCAAGTGGCCCCGAAGCCATGTGTGACCAACAGAAGCATAAGGCCCATGAGCTACAGCAAATCATTTGTGCTCTGGGGAACCCAGCCAAGTGAAAAGCCACTTTCAACAGAGAAGCCCGAGCTTCCGGACGTTCTGGCCGCTGGCCACGAGAGGGCGCTCGTGGCTCAAAGACCGGCTCCAGGGCCAGACTCTGGGCAGTACCTTTGGTTATCTCCCGGTTGTCGCTGAGGCCCCCGCACAGGGAGATGGCGATGGACGGCAGGTCCCTCAGGCTGTCCGAGGTGCTCTCCACGCCGCTGTCGATGCCAGAGCTGCCCACGGACTGCGGGGACTGGTTGGCTGACCGGGCTCCGTTGTCGCTGGTGTGTTTGGCCAGCCCGGAAGGATCCCCGCTGGGAGGAGGAAGGGGAGATATTCTGACATCAGGACCGCAAACGACTCCCACCGCGCTGGCCCGGGGCGTAGCAAAGGAGGTCATCTCAGGACCGGGACAAAGACAGACAAGTGAAACCAACTACTTGGGGAGAGACCATTATTTTAGCCTATTGTCTTCCCTGTGTCCCCTCCCGAGCCTAGGTGAAAGGAATGGCAAAGAAAGCACACTGTCCTCAGAGGCCACAGATCTTTGCTACCACCCTCCGAGGAGCCAGCCCTCCCTGATCATCACAAAACAGAACAGGGGTCTCAGAGGCCACGGGAGAATCTCTCCCGGGGAGGGAGAGGGCCGCGCACCTGCCCCCTCTTAGCTGCTGATTTGGGTGACGGGTCACTGCCTCGCCCCCTCACAACACGACCTCGGTGTCACCACGGGAGCCAGCCTCGTGCCTGCATTCCTGTTCAGGAGGTGGGAAGCCAGCCACACAGAAATATCCACACAGGACTCCAGACAAAGTCCGTTATTACTGGTAGATTTTCACAGGAAAATTGGAGCCTCCCTTTTCTTACTCATTTTCCAATCAAATGTAAGGGGGGAAAAAACCAGACTCACACAGACAAACACAGAAAATGATACGAAGAATAAAAAGAAATTTTACTTTTTGGGAAAATACAGGGCAGCCACTTCAGGGTCCATATCTGTGAGGTCATCCAAGTAGACGCCATCAGCCCCCAGATGCCTGCTTCGTTTGTCTGGAAGAGCAAAGGGGTCAGGTCAGAGCCCTGGTCTTCCACGGACTTCCGAGCAGCTCCAGAAAGCACTGAAGCATAATGCACGTTTGCTCCGACGTGTCCCCACCACACACGATTACGAGAGCTGGAAGTCAGCCGCGCACAGGCCTCGGAGGCCGACTCACCAGGTCTGCGCGAGACCCCACCACTGCCAAGCACTCGCGCCTAACCGAGTCTCACGACGCTGCTGAGCAACGCCCCCAGCTGTGAAGGGCCTGATGGGTCCTGAGTACTTGGTCTACTGAAGCCTTCGCCACCATCGTCATTCAATGAGGAAGGCTTTCATTAAACACGTCCTGGTATGCACAGTCCCAGGCCCAGGGTCCCACACGGTGCATCCACGGTCACTGCACACCACGACCGTGGACTTCCTGTTTCCTTCTGCCAGAGAATGACATCACGGGTTCACAGAAATCTAGGAAAGCGCACCACGTGGTTAACCACGTGGTTAACTGGACAGGCTTGATGTCATCCCTCCTGCCGGGCGACCAGGTGTGTATTCAACCCGCAGTTCGGAGCAAGACTATTTTGAGCACAGAGGAAGCAGAGGCAAACCAGGCCAAACGGTTCTTGATCGCACAGAGCACACCCGTTCTAGTACGGGAGCTCCCGGCAAACGCGGATACAAACAAGTGACCCTTGCAAGCAGTGACCCGTGTCATGCAGAAATTAAAACCAGGCAATGTGCTGACAGAAACGGAGGGCAGGGGGTGAGGAGACCAGGATTAGCTCAACAATCGGCATCCTCCGGAGCCCCAAGTGGGTGAACAAGACTTCACCCCTCTGGATCCCAGCACCCCGATCTAGAAAGTGAGGGGGCTCGTGACACCACCCCAAGGCTTCCTTCGGTCTGACTGTATAACTAAATTCTGATAACATCTTAAGCAGAAAGCTGTCCCGGTCCAGCTTCCCCCTTGACATACTCGGCCTCCAGAGGGAAGGATTGGGAACGTGCAGAGCCCCACATCTGCTGGGACCCGCCAGCCTTCCCACCTTTTTTCCTGGAAGGAGAATCCATCTTGCTTGCTGTCGGGGCTACGCTGGCAGAGAGGGGTTTAGGTTCTTCGATCGTAGGCAGAGGCGGGGCTGCCGCCCCCAAGGCCTCAACATCTTCTTCATTCACAAACTGCATCTCCGTGGGAGGCTTGCCCGGCTCCGGATCGGGCAGCACGGGAGGCCTGGCCAGGGTTGGCGACTGGTCACTAAACGCATCCGAAGACTCACTCTGGATGGCCTGAAAGTGTATCTTATCACAGATTTTTCTACTGTTTAATGGGCTGCAGTCTTTCATCTTGTGCGGAGGTAACTACGTCAAGAGGCAGAGAGAGACAGAATGGTCAGGGCATGAGCAAAAAGAAAAAAGGAGTTAACGAAGAAAAACAATTAACCCATTAACATCTGCACCACCCTCTGCCCATTTGGCAGAGACAGTCAAGCCTCGGGCGTCACCTGGTGATTTCCCTTCCACCAAAAGAATCCAAACAGCAGAATGCCAGTTCCAGAGCAAACAAACTTTCGTATAAAACATCAACTGCTGATTAGAAGGAAGTGGAATCGGGAAAGGCCAACAAACAGGAGAGGCTCAAGTACTCAGTGTCCATGCACGGGACGGGCAGGACACTCGCAGGACGGGCAGTTCTCAGCACAGAGACAATAAGGAAATCACAATTACACACAACAGCACGATGAATGTCGCCAAGCTAATCTCTGCTGTGAAAGGCAGGAGGGTGTTTGTCCTTCTGGTGGGGGCAGGCTGAGAAGTAACTGCAAAAGGTGGGGGCTTCCCAGTGGCTGAGTAAGCCCTGCTTCTCTCTGGACACATTCACAGCATGAAAATGTTCCAATCTGTGCACCTACGATGTGGGCTTTTCTCTGTACACGGGCTCTATTTCAATAAAATTTACCCCCAAAACTAAGTCAACAAGTGGGTGGTACACCTGAGTGAGAAATTAACATTTCTGATTCTACTTCTCCAAGGAGTGTCCTGTTACGGAAAAGATTTATCTGGTCACAACAAGAATGCAATTTCTGGGTTGGAGGGGAAAGGGAAAGTGTTTGTTCCCGTACCCGATCTCACAGCTTCTCGCACAACAAAAAAAACGCCACAGCACGTCTGTGGTTGGAAGCGTTTTGCCAGAAGAAGTGATGGGTTAGCATTTCCACGCCACTTCTCCAACGACAAATGCCATGAGTTTGAAAAGATGGCTGCATCAGTCGGCACTGCAGCACGCGGGCAGAGAAATCAGCATTTTCCATGGAAGCTAAATATAACCCAGGAAAAGAAAGAACCCACAACTCTACCTCAACAGACATTCCCTCCAAAAAGTTGCCCATCTGGAATCTCCATAGGAATGCTTTCCATGTTTACTCACGTTTTCCATGTTTACTCATTCATTCATTCATATTACAACCCTCTACTGTCCTCTCTCTCCGAGGACAAGAAGTTGTAGCATCTTCTAGAAGCTTTACAATATAAAAAAAAAATTTTTATAATAATAGATTCGAGATGCTTTTAATAGACTGGGATATGAAATGAAATATCTTCAAAGAAAAGATCATGCGTTTCACGTTTTTGGAAACTATCTTCGATATATGGCAGAAACGGGGGCGGGGGGCTTACCTTTGCCGCTTGCGGTAATTCTCCCCAAAGCCAGAGCATCTCCAGGTTACTCTTCTGCATCGCCCTGTCGGTGGCCTTATTGACCAATTCTGAATCGCTTTTAGGTGTTGAAGGTCGAGAACCTGAAGGACTTAAGAAAAACACAAATCCATGATTAAACTGGGAAGGGAAACTTTTTTAGATGTTTTTTGCTCCAGAATTCTATGGTCCAAACAGCCCAGAAAATGCACACAAGCTTCATGACATTCCCCTCTGTGGCCACCAGGGGTCCGCAGAACACACAGCCAGGAGGAAGGAGCTCCCCTTTCGGGGAACCTATCCCAAGCTGCCCCCCAGTTCCAAGCAAAGATGAGAAGAGGCATTTAGAAAGGAAAAATTGAAGAAAAGAGAGATGAAAGTAGAATGGAAAAAGGGTGTTCTCCTCTCAAAACCATCTGTCTCTCCCCACCTCACCCTGAGCTCCCCACTCCTGTGGTCTCAACTTCCAAACTGCATCTGTCGGCTCTCGGCTGCAAAGGGGGGTCCTGCCTATCTCAGATACGCACCCGTTATATTCGATTTTTAAAGATTTATGAATCTGCACTGGCTTCAAAAACAGGGAAACTGTTATCACGGGCTATCCAGATGCCAAGCATAAACTCAAACTTCCTAACACGCCAGGAGCCTCTGTGTTGAGATTTCATTAAATACCTTCCAGGAATAGTTCAAAATCCACCTGTTGGCTAAGGCTTGCTCTGTAACAACATATCATATGGCTTAATTCTCAGGCCAGTTTTGAAGTGGTTGTAACTTGTGCTCTTGTCTCTACAATCTTTCCTATTTCTCCTCTTTAGACCTGAACAAAGTTTTCCCTCTGTCCAGCCAGAGTGACCAGCCCAGAATCATCACCTTGTCTACAAACTTCTCACAGTATCCTAAACAACACCTGGATGAGAAAATATATCCATTTAACCTCTCCCTGCCTTCTCCTGCGTCATTTCCCCCAGAGTAAGACAATGGTGTTACATGAAGCAGGGGACAAAGCCACCATGTTTTCCTTCTGCACCCTCTACCACAGCCCTCACACTCTCCTGAGTCCCCGCCTGGCCTCACAAACCTGAGTTAGATGTCAACTCCCGCGGAATACAGCTTCCTGTCAGGACAAGGAGCAGTCATAGAGAAACCTATCAAACCAACAGGGACACTTAATGGCTAACCTGGTCCCAGATCTCTTCAGTCCGACCATTTGAACCAAAGAGACTCACCGCTCTCTCTCTCCTCTCTCTCCTCCATTTCACACCAACATGCTCAGAGGCTGGTTCATCACTTGTGGTGCCCACCGCCCACCAAACCACCCACGTGGTACGTGGCTATAGTGTGGCCCTCACGCTCTATTTCACCATGTGTGGAGGAGGACCCTGAGACAGGGTGTCATGGGAGCGTATACGATGGGACACCTCTCCCAACACACGGACACGCACACCCCCTCTTCCGCCCCATGGGAAATGCTCCCACAGGAGGAAGGCTGAGCGCCCCACACATCGAGGTGGTAAGGTGTCCATCACCTCCCAACCTCTCTTGCTCCTTCTAGTCCTGTAATTATGCTTTTCTCCAAAGGGTCACTGCCTTCCTGGCACCGGCATGTCCAGACTATATTTTCCGCATCAGCGCCAGGTCCAGAGGGGGTGTCATGGCCTCCAGTGTACCTACAACCGTGACCAGCATCCAGTTTGTCTCGAGTCATCACAGAAAAGGTCCACTGTGACTGGCTTCCTGTCCTCCGCAGCATGGCATCCCGAACCTCCAACCCCTGGTCTGAAAAGCTCCTGCTGTTCTATTTTACCACATAAAACATGAGTGATGTTTTGTGGAACAAGGAATGGTCGTACCCCCCGCACTGAAGTCAGCAGGGCCCTTTAAACAGAGCTTGCTCTGGAGCCGGGGGGTCAGCGAACTTCGTCAAGCTTTGTGGGTCATGCGACCTTTGTCAGAGCGCACAATTTTGTCACAGCTGCACAAAAGCAGCCCTTGACGATACGTGAACAAGCCGCAGTCCCACAGAACCACGAGGACAGATGGGGGGCCACGGTTGGCCCACCGGCTATCCTTAGCCAGCCCCTGCTCTAGAAGAAGGCAAATGCTGAACACGGGAGTCTTGTGGTGCCAATTCCAGAATTCCTGCTATTCCGACCCCTGGCCAACCCCACAAGCCCTAGGTCTCCACAAAGGTATTCAGGTTTGCAAACTCATTCACAGAGAAGCAAGCCCTGAGCTAGGAGCACCACCTCCGGCGCCCGGCAGGCCACCACCATAAATGGCGGCAACATCAGCCTCCCTCAGAAGGATCCTGCACGCAAATGCCCGCGCAGAGTCTGTGGAATTCAGGCTGACAGAAGATAAGTCGGGGAAAGGCTCCCAGTTCTGGGTGTGATTCACAAGGAAGATGGTGGGTCCAAGGTTTCCCATTATCAAATCTTAGTCTTTTAAGGTCAAGGGTTGTTCAAAAAAATAAGCTTACAAGATCTGTGATTGGCTTTCGTAAATAATGCATTTATTAACCACGGAACAGTGTTGAGGATTTTGCCAGTCCCACTTGGGCAAGTGAGTTCTGTTCACAGCTTAGTTTACCTCCTTTCAAAATGGCTTTCCTCTGTACATGAAACCCTCCAAACGAAGCATATCCTGAGACTTGGTTCTTTAATCAAAAAGGAAAACATTTCTCGTGTAGAAGTCAGTCAGAGCTTCATTTGTTAACATTTAGAAACCAAGTAGGTCCACCACGCAGCTTGGAGTGTGGACACCATGGAAGGAATGGAGGCAAGAACCTCAGACCATGGCATCTGAGGAAAATACAAACCTATGATCCTAAACCTATGCTACATTCCAAAATTCCATTCTAGAAATGCCTTGGAAATAGGATTCCATTATTCAGACAGTCTAATGAGCAATTTAAAGAGTTATAATAACTCCCCTTACACAAAAGATCTTATAAACTTGTATGTTGAACAACCCTAGACACAAAGCAAAAATCATATTACCAATTTTTATTTCATTGTTCTGTTTTACAAAGAGCTCCATAAAATTAGGAAGAACTATATGCTTAGCCATGATTTCCAGAGAATCCAATTTAGTTGTGGAAAAAAATCTAATAATCTACAAATGCTTAATCAAAGGAAAAAAAAACCATCTCTATGTATTTTCTTCATAAGTAATTTGGTTAGTCAAGTAGATTTGTAAGAGTTAGATCAAAAGTTTCATTTACACAGTCTATGTATTGTCTGCGTAAGTAATTTGGTCAATGGTAAACAGGCTTGTACGAGTTAGATCACAATTTTGATTATCGAAGACATCCAAGTGGGGAAAAAGCCCCTCTACCTTTCCGAAGCATGGAAGTGGGAAGACTGTGGAGGGCAAGAGCTAGAGAGGCCTCCCTCGGCCGCAACTGCCAGGCAGGGGGCAGTCCTTTGGCAATCTATCGGGCTACCGGATACCACGTGATATACATTAAGAAAAAGAAAAATCATAGGTCAATTCAATTAAACTTCATATAAATTATTTGACTACTCTCCACAATAACATTTGCAAGAAAATGAACATACTTAGGCATCTGACAACAGCAGAAATGACTCTGTTGAAATCACTCAGAAGTCAACATGAATTTTTTGAACACAAGAACAGGAAACTGCCAAAAGACTCATTTCACTTTCTATTTCGTCCATATGGCCGTAAAAGATTGTTATTCTCTGGTCAGAATTTAGAGTTTAATCAAATTGCAGTCTCCAAAGAGTTGATTGTTTCTGCTGCCAGTTGTCTCTTCAAAGAAAAGACGTACTTCCAAGGTATGGAAATGTATCTATTCATCCTAATTTGTCATTGCACTTGACAGTAGTCAGACCCACAGGATCTGACACGGCCGCTCTTCTGGATTCATAAGGCAAATCACGGAAGACAGGAGAACATACCCATGGTTGCGTTTTAAACATTTATTTGAAATTCAAAATTAAGGTAGAGTGTCTGAACAGATTTTCCAACCTAATAGTGGTTTCTAACCATCCCACATAATTTTCTTCCTAAAGTGCCATCTTTTTCCCTCCTTAGGGTGCATTTCCACAGACCTCGGGAGATAATGGGGGAGGTTCCAAGAAGATCTAATATCTGCACTGTCCATTATGACAGCCACCAGCTGCACGTGACTATCGAGCACATGAAGTATGACACGTCCACACCAAGGTGGTCTTTCCATGTGAATTCACAATGATCAAAGACTTAGTATGAAAACGAGAATGTGAAAATCTCATTAAGAACTTCGTGGGAACGACTTGATGGTATTTTGGATATGCTGGGTCAAAGGAACTCAATCATCAAAGGTAACTTTCTCAGTTTCTTTTTACCCTCGAAGGATGGCTGCTGGAAAACTGTAAACGTCCTAGGTAGCTAGCGTTCTGTTTCTACAGCACGGGGTGGGTCTGCAGACAGACCTCCATGAAGACACCCCGCAGGCCCCCAACCCCACCCGGGGGGACCGACACCCGCTGTCCCAGACGCAGGCACAGGACTGATCTAGTTCTCTGGGACTCGGACTCCAGCACGCGCTGCTCACTATGCTGTTCCACTGACTAGATTGCTCTGGTGGAACTGGGACGAGGAGGGCTGTTGGGAGGACCCTGGCTTTAGGCAGGGAGCCTTTGCAGCGGGGTTCCCACACTTCCACTACAAACCACAAGTACATCTACAACGTAAGGAATAAGAACGATCCAAGGCTGGGGCGCCTGGGCGGGCTCAGCGGGTTAAGCATCTGTCTTTGGCTCTGGTCATGATCCCAAGGTCCTGGGATCAAACCCCACATCGGGCTCCTGCTCAGTGGGGATTCTGCTCCCCCTCTTGCTCTGCCCCTCCCCACTGCTCATTGGTTGTTCTTTCTCTCTCTCAAATAAATAAAATCTTAAAAAAAAAAGACGAAGAATCCAAGGATGTCCCTGTCACTAAGATCAGTGTTTCTCAACCTCTTTCCATTGTTCGCGTACCCTCAGACAGCTGAGACTTTCTTCCTCTCATGGTCCTCCCTCCACCGTGACCCTTTAATACCACAGATGGACTCCGAACTTGCTTATGTGTGAGGCCCCATGGAGGCCACAAGCCATTATAATATCTAAGAACTCTCTGCTGCCCAAGAGCCAATTTTTGCCGCAATGGGGGTGATACAGCCCCCGCTGAGGACACTCGGTTTAGATCTGTCCCCTCCCCGGTTCTTCTGAGAAGGGCTCTCATGTTCTCAGAGGTCTCACTGACTACCAGTCCCTGGGTCTTTAGGATGGAAATCCGCAGCCTGAGCCGGTCTGATTCTCCAAGTTTCTCCCCAACTCTAGGGCATCTTTTCAGGGAAATATTCCTGGTTTCAGTAGAAGGGGTTAAGCACGGGGAGAAGGCATCATTCTAACAGCCCAGAACCATCTTGGTGGCTCCGGAATCGTACTTGAGGGCTAAGTGTCAAGAAAGGCTCGGCCACCTGTTTTCTCCTGCTGACAATCAGCCCTAAGGAACTGGAGTGGCTTTTTTTTTCAAGGTCACCTGCGGGGAGTGAAGAGCCAGATTTACAGCTTGATTATGACATCAGAAGTTTATGGTCTGCACGTGCCCTTTTTCAATCCCAATCTATACCTCCTACTCTAACCCGCATTTTTTTCACTTTTTACTTATATTTCACTATTATTAGACACGCTTCCTGTCATTGACTTTAAATCCTCTGGACAAGGGTGGTCAAATGCACACACGTCCCCCAGCAACTCACCTGGCGCTGGGTGACCACTCTCTATCAGAATTAGGGTACGATGCTGACTGAGGGTAAGTCATGATGGGGGAAGGGCTTTCCTTAGAAACATCTTCTTGGAATACAGGTATATCATTAGGAAGAGTTCTGGAGGGAAAAAAAAAAGAAGAAAAAGACTAAAGTCAAAGAATTATTAGTGATTATGTGCGACAGATTCATAATGAAGGCAAGTTTCCCTTTTATCTAGATTAGCTAAGTTCTTTGTCAATGAACACGATCTCTTTCTGACCCACCCAGGCGTACTGGAGGCAGTGGGGAGGGAAAATGTGAGACACAGGCACACATCAATGTGTTTGTGCTTTGGTTGGATTATAAAGCTCATTAAAATGACTGTATTTGGGGCGCCTGGGTGGCTCAATGGGTTAAGCTTCTGCCTTGGGCTCAGGTCATGATCTCAGGGTCCTGGGATCAAGCCCCGCATCGGGCTCTCTGCTCAGCAGGGAGCCTGCTTCTCTCTGACTCTCTGCCTACTTGTGATCTCTATCAAATAAATAAATAAAATCTTTTAAAAAAAGACTTTATTCAAGTCTCTGGGCTGGCAGACGTGCATAATGGTGATCCTGCTGGTCATGTTACACCGCGGGCCCAAAACGGACCTGGGAGGCTGAAAAGTCTTGCTGTGTACAGGAGGTTGCCAAGCGAATGACCACACACAGACAATCCTTCACCTAGCAGAACAAACAAATGATAGAAACCAAAAGACTCTAATAATGACAAAACAACTGCAAAGCCACCTTGTTTCAGGTAGAATGCACTCATTACAAAAATACGATTCCCTCTTGCAGTCACACAGAGGCCGTCGGTCCGTACTTTTGATGTTCCCTGAAATTTCCCTCACTAAGTTCTGGAATTAAAAGCCATGCAGGGACGGCAACTATAAGCCCAACCACTAGTTTCTGAGCCTATAGCAGATTAGAGTCTGTAGTGAGGAAAAGTGACATTGCCAGTTTGCCTGTATTTTTAGCCAGAGGGGGGGAAAAAGTCCTAATTTGAATAATGAAGCAGAGGGACACTCCTGATGTTCCTTATCCCTTTTTCATGTTAACAAGATACAAAATAACTATCAAAAATTATACTGAATTTTAGGGGCGCCTGAATGGCTCGGTCAGTGAAGCTCCCTACTCTTGATTTCGGCTCAAGTCGTGATCTCAGGGTCGTGAGATTGAGCCCTGCGTCAGGCTCTGCGCTCAGCAGAAGTCTGCCTGACAGTCTCTCTCTCCCTCAGCAAACCCCTTTAAAAAAAAAAAAAAAAACCTGAATTACATAAGGATCTGAAATATCAAGTATACTTTACAAATGAGTTTTGTCTTTTAAAATTGGCCACTTTCACTAAAATAGTAATACACAGAAACCGAATTTCACCACCCAGTTAAAAGCAAACAAAGTTGAGCAAGACGACCACGAAACCTCGGGCCTAGTCAGAACTGAAAAGGAAAAGTCTGCTTGGAGAGAAAACTGGTCACGTTCTGCACGTCCTTATAACCTGAAAGCTGTTACACATCAGCCCCCAGACACACATCACCCCAGTAGCCGGGACTATAGCCGGGGCCCAAGTAAGAGCAAGCAGGCTGTGAAACAGGGTTTCATGCGTGAAGTATTCGTTTGCTCGCTTCTCTGTCCCTCGGTTCCGTCCTAGATGCTGAGGCGGGCAGACAAGGACGACCACCTCGTAGCTGTAAGCCAGCTCAGATGTTTCTGCCCCTTGAGGTCGGGGCCACAGAGTTCTAACACTCAGTCTAAGACGCATTCACATAAGAATAAGGAACACTGGGCACCTGGGGGGCTCAATCGGTAGGCCTTTACCTTCAGCTCAGGTCACGTCCCAGGGTCCTGGGATCGACCTCCCAGGTCAGGCCCCCTGCTCCGCGGGGAGCCTACTTCTCCCCCTCCCTCCCTTTCTGCCCCTCCCCCTGCTCATGCTTGCGCTCTCTCTCTCTCTCTCTCTCTCTCTCTCATAAATAAATAAATAAATAAATAAAGATTTTTTAAATCTTTAAAAAAAGAAAGAAAAGAATAAGGAATACTGGGGCAAAAAACGAGTTGTGAGAATCATCTCAGAGAACCAGTGCGCCTGACTCCCCCACAGGCCCCGGCCTTCACGCATGTTTACCTGCTACCGTCCAGGGGGTCAGCCTGGTCATCCGAGCTCATCTCTATGGGAAACATGTCCTCGTCCTCAGATGTGTTCATGTTGTCATCTCTTTTCAGGGTGTCCAGCTGGGACTTTCTCCTCCTTTTCCTTCTCTTCTTCACTAAAGAGCTGCTCGAAGCAGCCTCACTGGGAGGTAAGGCCTGGGTGGACGCGCTGGGGTCCAGGCTTCTGATCCTGTCTACAGAGTTCCTTTTCAGCTGACACTCCATGCGCGAGGCTCCCTCCGACAGGATAGGGGAGGTGGCCAGGTACATGGGGATCACCTCCTGAAGGGCAGAAAAGAGATTTCAAAGAGCCTTGTTAATTTGGGCTTAAGGGGCAAGGGGTGCCAAAGGCTGGCCAGTGTTCCTTTAGGAGTGCGAGCGCCCTCGGGGAGGGCTACGTGGGGCGGGGGGACCAACGGTCATGGCCACCGCGGGCTGGAGGCAGTGCCAGATCGGGATAGCCAGCCACAAATCAACAATGCACTCTACGGCATTTTGTATCGAGTCCCACATTTTCGTAATTAGAGCAAAGCGAGGTAATGAGTGATTTCAGGGCACCCGAAATGTTTGAAGTATCCATAGTACAGAGGGAAAAATGAGCTTTGAGTCATCACATTACCTGGGAACTGGGCTCAACTTTGCATTTCAGTGCAGGGGAAGGGGGTAAGTGTATGTGGTGGTGTGTGTGGGTATGTGTACGTGCATGCACATGTTTGCATGTAAAAGAGAGAATGTGTATACATTTTTTAATATGCACTGAATTAAGATGATAGTATTTGAAAACAAAAATACAGCTGACACCCCCAACCCGAGTGCCTGCCTACACCAGAGCCATCCAGGTATTCGACAGTTAGTCAATTAGATACCAACTCTCGTCATAAAAACAGAAGGAAAAAATACATGGCCTATCCATTTAAGTTGTTTAATAATGATTTACCATATAAGTTGTTTAATAAGGTATAATAATCATCTAAAAACTATAACAATCATTTTATTAATTATATTACTATATTAATAATTATAATTCACAATTATAGATAATCATAATTATTAATTAATCGTTTTTATTAATGGCTTATTTATTAGGAGACACTTGGTGACAAGAAGGAAAGAACATATACAAAGGAGAAGAGAGAAACAGAACCCCCCTGCTGACCCTTTACAGCAGGTTCGAGAACTCTCGAGGTGCTACAGGTGTGCAGAGACCGTCTGAAACCAAGCCTCAGGCTGAGAGGTGAGAGGTCATCTCACCCAGCTGCTCAATGGGCCAAACCCAGAAGAAAGGCCGCCAGTGCCGACACGAGGTTAAGAGCAAAGAAGGGTCTCCACAGGGGCAGGGAAGGGGCAAAGCTCCACACGCAGAGGGGACCCGGATCCTGGGGCACTCTGGTGATGAGGAACACAGGCTTCCCCGACTTGCAGCAGCCTTCCAGGGGTAGCCAGGGCTATCCGTAAGGGGCAGAACGTATCTGGCCCCCCCCCCCGGTCACCGGAAGCCCCATCCCGCCCCCAGGCACCCTTCAGGCCCACCAGAGCAGGCTCAAGCCCCTGCAGCTTCCTTGGAAGCCTCGGCCAAACACTTCTTCAACTCTCAGAGCGTAAAATCTGTCCAAGCTAAGGGACAACAGAAATTGGAAGGCAAGCATCCATCTGAGATGGCAAGAATTAATAATTATGAATGAGTGACTCTCAGAGCCATCCCTGCGGACAGGGATGTAATTAAAGAAGTCGGGGGCACAGGCCGAGGATGCTGGTCCTCCCATTACATCACACCTTTGGGGAGACCAAAAAGAGGAGGAGCCTGGGACCATTTTATTCTGAAACTGAAACCATGTGCATTCATTTTTGACCCTGGAGCTTTTTAGCTGTTCCTTTGGCATCACGCTATCTTCCCGTGAAAGAACTAGTCTAAGTGGATTTTCTTGAGGAATCCCAACACAGCATCCCTTCCACACTTTCTCGAAGAAGGTAAGAGTGAAAAAGCGGTTTCTCTTAGAAGAAAACATCGGGATAAATCTTCATGACCTTGGATTTGGCAAAGGATTCTTAGGCAGAATGACAAGGGCAGAAGCCACAAAAGGATTAAAAAAAGAAAAAAAAGCAGATAAACTGGACTTGATCAAAATGTAAAAGTTTTGTGCTTCAAGGAATACCATCAAGCAAGCGAAAACATCCATGACAAACCAATCGTAAAAAGACAAAAACCCACGGGGCGCCTGGGTGGCTCAGTGGGTTAAGCCTCTGCCTTCAGCTCAGGTCATGATCTCGGAGTCCTGGGATCAAGCCCCGCATCGAGCTCTCTGCTCAGCAGGTAGCCTTCTTCCTCCTCTCTCTGCCTGCCTCTCTGCCTACTAGTGATCTCTGTCAAATAAATGAATAAAAAAAAAAAAATTAAAAGACAAAAACCCAATCACAAAAAGATCTGAATAGATTTTTCTCCAAAGAACAAAGACAAACGGCCAGCCAGGCTGTGAAAAGATGCGCGGCTCACCAGCCATCAGGGAGACGCACGGCAGCGCCACGGTGAGACGTCCCTGCACGCCCCCAGGACAGCTAGACCCGCGGTCCCAGGGCAGGTGGCCATGGGGATGTGGACAAGCCCAAAGCTGATGCCCCACTTGTGGGAACGTCAAACGGAGCAGCCGTTCCTTGAACACAGAATACACCACTAGCACATGATGGGGAGCTTCTGCTCCTGGGTATGGACCCAAGAGAAACAAAGCCATTTGTCCACATGAAAACTTGCGCAGGAACGTTCACAGTGCCATCCTTCTTGATAGCCAAAAGGCGGACACGACCCAGATGTCCATGAGTCCACGAAAGGGCAAACCAGTGTGGTGCGCGGATACCACGGGCGATGATGCAGCCCCACAGAGGGATGAAGCCCGGAGCCTGTCTACAGGACGGGCGAGCCCTGACGGCTTCATGAGAAGGGAAGGAAGCCAGGCGTGATGACAACATACTTGGGACTGCATTCGTGGGGAAGCTCGGAACAGGGAAATTGAGAGAAACACAAAGTGAAAGAGAGGTTGCAGAAGGCACAGGAAGATGATGGGGCAGGGGCTTGAGGGATATAGGGAAGCTACAGCTATAGGGCACAGGGTTTCTTCTTGGGCTGATGAAAATGGCCTAAAATTGACTGTGCGACATCTATTTGAAGAAAACTGAAAACCACCAAACTGTACATTTGCAATAGAGAAAGTGTACAGTACACAAACTGTATCTTAGTAGAGCTGTTAAAATTGCTTTAAATTACAAAAAATGAAAGTGATGTGGTTACATACTACACAAAAATTAGAACATTCAGCCCTCTGAGACCTGACATGCCAGAGTAACCTGTGTGTTTTGGACAACAGCTCAGCGTGATCAGCTTCCTGTCTCCTCGGAGATAGCACAAGGAAGCAGGCCAGGACTGCGGGGTCTCGGACACGGCTCGCACCCACCCCGTGGGGCTCCCAGATCCCTGGTACAGGTCAGCAGCCACGCTTCTCTGCTGCGGCGGGCTACACCGCCCCGCACCAGTGTTACTTCTCCAAACTTCCGCTGGGCCCTCTAGAGAAGCATCGCTCAAAACTCAAAACTAGGAAGTCCCAGCGACCACCGGCCGTCCTTACCTGATCATTATCAGTCTCTTGAACAAAAAATGCTTCTCCGTTATCTCCCAATTTCATGTGCAAATCCACGGACTCCCCGTTGATCTCTATGTCAACCTGAAAGAAAAACACACTTGACTCAAACAGGAAACCTCGAGGGGGCTGCCCTGCCTTTATATACATATCCTTTACCCACATACGCCCCAAACGATGGCACAGTTCCATGTCTCAGTCAGGCAAGCCATCGGAAACAGCGTCTACCTGCCCCAGCGCTGACCCCGCGCACAGCGAGCCTTGTAGTTGCCCCAGCCAGGAGAGCGAGGCAGGACCGGCTCCTGGAACGTCCACACCCAGGTCAGGACACGGGGGCCCCCGGCTCCTTTCCCCTGGAGAGGTTCACCCCGCATCCAGCAGCTTTGTTGTGGGGCCACTCAGGCCACATGGACGGGCCATGTGTAGGCGTCGTGGCCATGAGCCTCAGGTGACAGCCCAGCCAGGAGCCCCCAGGCCAGCGAGGGACAGCATCTTTGGACAGGTCTTTTGGCCGAGCCTCCAGAGGGCAGCGGGCGGAGACAAACGAGCCCTGCCGCCCTGGGTCTGAATGTCTGACTCACACAAATCATAAGCTTAATAACTAGCTGATTTTTGCCCCTATGTCTTGGAATAATTTAACACAATTCGAGTTAGTACTTATCAATTCAGTGACCAGCCCTTCCCAGGGTGAAGCCACAGCTCCGGAGGCCTGTAGCTCTGTCTGAAGACAGAAACATGAGGGGCGCCTGAGGGGCACAGTCAGCAAAGCATCTGACTTTGGCTCAGGGCATGATCTCGAGGTCCTGGGATCGAGCCCCACCTCGGGCTCCCTGCTCAGCCGGGAGCCCGCTTCCCCCTCTATCTCTGCCTGCTGCTCTGCCTACTGTGACCTCTCTCTCTGTGTCAAATAAATAAATAAAATCTTCAAAGGCAGAAACACAATGATTTTAGATTTTAGAGAGAGAACCTTGCCCCCCAGGCCGCTGGGTCCTATGCTCTCACCACTTTCTCTCGGGAGCGCAGGACCCCCATCTTCCCAAAGCGCACGTGGAAGGGCGAGCACTGGAGGCTCCCGTTGGGCTGGCGGACGACGATGATATCAATGCATCCGGACAGGGTGGCAGGATTCAGCCCCTTGTAGAGTTCCTTCACGGTGACGAACACCTGGCCCGCCAACTGCCCCACGTAATTCATGGTTTGAGTCTAGAAAGCAGAGACAGACCCACCGTCGGTTAATTCCAGGAAGGCTGTCTGTCTGGAGCCAGTCCTCATGAACTTGCCGTCGTCACACTAGCTCGACGGCCACACCTCCTTCAGATCCTACTGTTCCACGGGGATGGGCTCCACGACGCCCACCCCCACCCCTGTCAGCCAGCCCGCCAACCTCCACCCTGTGGACGCCAGGAAGCCTCATCCCGGAGGGCGCTGGGCTCTTCCCCTCCGCGGCCCCGGCACCTGCTCAGCCGTGCCCTGCTCTGTCGTCACTTGCAGGTTTTACAGCTTATCTGAAGACTCGTGAGAAAAGAGACTCACTTTATACCTCTTGGGCTCTAGCCCCCACCATGCCAAATAGAGTCGGCATTCAAAAACAGTAACTGGGAAAAAAATGGGTAGTTCCACTTGAGAAGGAAAAAAACTGACTCTTATTTGGAACAATTTCCATCCCAGTCTCAGTCTGCCTAATCGGATTCTGCCCCACGGCGGCTCCAGGGGAAACACAGGCTCCGCTTCCACGTGCCTGTCCGGCTAAGCAACCAAAGGCCGGTCAGCAAACATCCAGCATCTACTCCCCACCCAGCCTGGTACTGGCCACACAGAGATAAAAAAGACGGCGTCCCTGGCCCCTGAAGGGACTCACAGCCTCGTGAAGGAGACAGAAGTAAAACACGAGGAAGGGAAGTACATGTCCGTGGGGCCGTGTCTGTTCTAAGCCGACAGGAGGGGCCACAGCCGAGGGAGGCGGAGAACACATGGAAGGGGCTGCAGCAGGCGGGGAGGGGGCAGACGCCCACGGGGACAGTGCCCAGGAGCCCGGCTGCGGGGCTGTGCCTGCCACAGACAAGCAGGGAAGGATGGAGAGTTCGCGCCACACTGGGAGGCCCGGACGTTTCTAAGGAGCAACGTGAAGCCACTGCAGACTCGGGAGCAACAAAATGATGATTTGACCCATGAGTTCAAAAATGCCTCACGGCAAAAGTGTACAGACTGGCAAGAAGGGAAAGAAAGCCGGAAGGCTAAGTGGTGGCTGTTGGCGATGGTGCAGATGAGAAGACACCAGCCCACAAGGAGGCAGGAAAGAGGGAGGTAAAGGGACAGTTGGAGAGATGCTTGGGGCCAGAGGACCCCAGTGAGCTGGCGCCATGCTCTGGCCCTCTTTCCACAGCTCTGGCTCCCACGACCACCTTGGTGACTGTCCTCACCTGCCCCACTGCCCACCCTGGCAGACCCCACTCTCTGGTACCATGGTCTGGCCCTGTCACGTGCCGCAATGAGACTCGGACACCTCAGAGTGGCCCGTAGCCCACAAGGGCCAACCCTGCAGCCTTCCTCTGCCACTCGCTCCTCCTCGCTCTGCCTCACTGGGCCTCCTGCCCTGGGAGGAGCCTGTCCTCAGGGGACCTGTCTTCAAGGGTCCAGTGCTCAGGGGACCTGCCTTGGGAGGTGCCTGTCCTCAGAAGTGTCTGCCCTCATTTGGGGTAACTGCCTCAGGGTGCAGCTTGCTTAGGGCTGCCTCCTTGCCAGCCCAGTTTAGCTGACCTCACAGGTTGGCCCAGGCAAAGCTGCTCCCCTCCCCTCTCTGTGCGCTTAACACTTCAGTGGCCTCCTGAGGTCCACCATCTGAGCACGAAAGGTCTGCACGCTGTGACTTCCAGTCACTGGACCCCAAGACTTCACCATCTCTCCCAACCATCACGCCACCTACCCGACATGGGGGCACGAGGACCATGCTGACCCCACTCACCGCGGGTCCTTTACAACGATCCCAGTGGCCACCACCTTGCTGTGCACACTGTCCCTGACCTGTCTGCACAGTTTGGTTCCATGCACTTTCTCGCTTGGATGTGTCTCTATTTCACCGTGTGGTTTTCCTGTCACTTGGCGAAGCCAGATTGTCCTTGAGGCCGACAATCAAGCCTTGTCTTTGCCAGTTAAAAAACCGAGAACTACTTTTCATCAGCCTCACCTCAACCCCTGACATAAGCAGCCATGAGTTAGCATCCCTTCACCAATAAGGAAACTGAGGCTCACAGGTGGTTGGTCACGAGCCCTGCACACCATGCCCAAACATGAACCACTGATTCAAGGCTAAATTAGAAGCGGCCGGAGCCCTAAAAGCAATGACAAAACCTACAAAGAACCCAAGAAAGCCCTCATGGCTCATTTTACAATCTTAAATGACACCCCGTGGATTGATGGACCCGTCTCCCTCGGACGAGCGATGAGCAGACCCTCCATGAACACCAGCACAGATGCACCTGGCACTCCTAACCCCACTACCAATGCAAGTCACAGGGAGGCAAGAACAGAAAATCACGCAGCTTCTGCATCTGGGAGCAAGCTAACTAACTTCAGGCAAACCAGGGCAGGAGACAGTTCCTAAAAGAAGAACAATGCAAAAAAGGATTCCTAGGACCCTGATACTCCTTTTTTGTGTTTGGGGTTTTTGTGGGTTTTTTGGAAAGCTTTATGCCCAATGTGGGGCTTGAACTCACGGCCCCAATATCAAGCGTGGTGTACCCTACTGTCTGAGCCAGCCAGGCGCCAGGAACCCTGACACTTCTAATAGAGAATCATTTTACAAAAAAAAAAAATCGTCACATCAATGTTCAAGGTAGATCTTAACCTCTGGTGCTTACCGAGAGGGGTCAGCCTCTAACCCTGCGGCAAAGCACGGCGGTAGGAACAATATTTTTGTAAATTCCTTCCTCATGACCTTGTGCTCCTTGATTTGCACAACACTGTAGGTACAAGGTCTTTCACACCAGTGAACTAAAGGACAAAGTGCAATGAAGCCAATACCCAAGGACACAGGCCTGGGCCTGAAGCCACCTCTGTTTTGGTTCCACAGCCCCCCTCCTGCTTCAGGACCCTCAGCTGTGGGCCAGACTGGTCCCTGAGTGACAGGTGACTGCCTCCTGCAGCAAGGCTCGAACCCATGCCCATGCCCTTGCCGCTGCTCATGCAGCCCCGAGGACCCACTGGCCAACATATTGTAGTCACAGCCGAAAGCAAGCTCGTGACTGGATGGTGTGACCACATGTCCACATCCCAGCCCCTCATCTGTAAGACGAGGACATTGGCATGATGACCCACAAGATCCGATTCCAGCTCCGACCGCCCTGAGATGAAGCCTGAAGGGGCATCTTTAATAATTTAAGCTAAATGGGGCTCTGCTCTCTTATCCTCACAGCAAAGTGTCCCTCTCCCCTCAGTGACCAAATTCAAGGTTATTGCACAGAATCTGAAGATTTCAAAGGGGCATGACCCTGGGTTGTTATTCTGAAAGCCTCCTTTGAAAGGAATAAGGCCAGAAATGGGAAGTGACAGGCAGCGCTCCCCACCTTGCAGAGATGGACTCTGACTTCCCAGTTCCTGGTCCTGCGATCTTCCCTCCGTGCATGCCACGGGGCCGGCCTGCTGTCGTTTTCCCACCACAAATAACTGAAAGTTGCTTTGATTATCTTTAGCTACTCCCTCTGTTGAGCAACTTGGAGGCAGGGCATCTCTTCCATAATTCTTAACAAATGATGACAGGGTCACGGCCCCACATGGCACTACAGTCCCGGAAACTATCCTCAGCACCAACAGCGGCTGCTCTAACTGACCGCTGAACGCTTCTCACGAAGGAGGCCACCTGGACGGCACTCTCTCAAGCAAAGGAAGAAGAGGCAAGGGTTGGCAGGGCTCGGAAGAAATTGGAACCCATGTGCACTGTTGGTAGGAATGCAAAATGGTGCGGCTCTATGTATGGAATAGTACAGAACACAGTTCCTCCGAAAATCAAAAATAGAATTACCATATGACCCAGCCATTCCACTTCTAAATATATATCCAAGAAAAGCAAAAGCAGGGTCTCAAAGAGATATCTGCACACCCATGCTCACAGAAGCGTTCTCACAATGGCCTAACGGTAGAAAGCACCCAAGTGCTCATCAATGGACGAACTGAGAAATAAAATGTGGTACTTACACACCACGGGCTACGAGTCAGCCTTAAAGCGGAAGGAAATTCTGATATACATCATACATGCAACAGGGATAAACCCAGAGGATATCATGCTAAGACAAATAAGACAGTCACAAAAAGATTAATACCAGATGTAGGATTTTCCTATGTAAACCCCTAGAAACCAGGAGTGGATCTGAGATTACCAGGGACTGTGGGGAGGAAGGAAGGGGTTAATGGGTTAGAGCTTCACTGGGAAGAGGAAATAAAAGCTGGAGCCCGATGGTGGCAGGACAGCAACAGCAGTAACGTGCTCACACAAAGTGTACTGAAATGTGCACTTACAAATGAGTAAGACAGTAACCATTTATGTTACGTGTGTGTTCCCACCATTGGGGAGGGTGAGGGAGAACGCTGAGCTAACCAGAACTGATTTCAGGAAGGCGACTACTGTTTGCTTGGGCCCAGGAGGCCTGGGACAGGCTTTCAGGGAAGGGAGGCACCAGTTCAGCCCGGGCGCCTGCTCGGCAGAGGGGTGCAGGCAAGCTGGGGGCAAGCATGGCTTGTCTTCATCTCTGCTCTTCAGGATGTTTTCTAAAGAAGCTCTGGGCGAATGCTGGACAAATACAAGACGAGACCAGCTGGACAGCAGCTCCCAGTTCACTGGCTCAGTTCCGTGGGGAGGAAAAGGCTCCAGGAAGAAGCGAATCAGATCTACCTAAAGCAGCAGGACGAGCCAGCCTCAGGTGCACGCTCCCTGCACCTGCCCCTTAATCCCACGACTGCCTTGTCTCCCTCGCTCACAGACACAGGATGCGGCAGCAAGGGCAGCACTGGGAAGCAGAAAGCATCTTAATTGCCTGCAGAGTCACAAAAGTACGACCTGAAAAGAACAAAACAAAATGCTTCCACATCCAGGTGAACAGCTCTGAGGTCCCGGCTCTGCATTCACCCCGAACCAAATTACTTCCAGATCTGCTGATTTCAGTCTCCAAATTGGGCAAGCAATGGCTGCTTCCCCGACAGGGCCTCTTTTA